CTGGTGCAGGTCCTGTGTGTTCAGATTCAGATTTGAGGGAGACTCCTGTAATTCTGAAAATTTGCAAATGAGGCTACTCTACTATATGTGTGAAATTAATTTGGCATGATGTTCTCAGTGCTCCCCTGTATTAGGGTACCAGAAAATGTTTAAATCTTAACTAAGTATGTATTTGATTGGATTTTGCTTGTTTAGTATGTAATATTACTATGCAGTAATCCTGAGGGACACTCATTTTTATCCATCTGAATGAAAAGGCTGATGTTGTTATCAACTTGTTTAAGTGGATCGTGTTTAATTTATTACTTTTCTTGTGTCTTGTAATCATGTGGATTATAGTAACGAAGCCAGGATACATTTTCTCATACTTTTCAGACTCATCATCAGTGCAGCGGAAATCTAATTATAGGTTTGCTGTGCTGACTTCTGTTCTGAAGGGAGTTTAAAATGAGTTACGTAAACAGAACTATGTAAGTCAAGTGTGAAAAAAGTAAACTAAGGAAATAATGATTACTGTGTTGATATATACATTGTGATCTGACGTTAAAGTGCTATCTAACACAAAAACATGGTCCAAAAAGCTTTACTGCTCAGTCTGAGAAATATTTGCAATGTATTTTGGTCTCCTTGGCAAGGCTAATACTGTGCACTCTTTTGGCTGGGCTGTGCTGTCTGTGGTCCCAGCGCTACTTCAGGCACTGAGTTGTGTAGCAGCAGTGTAGTGTGATGGCTGCTTGATAACTAGGCAGCTGGCTACCTGGTGGTGCTTCGTCCTCAGGTGAGCTGTTCCTCGGGGGTGATGCAGCTTGGGAGGTAGCTCTGCAAGCCAACCAAGAGTGAGCTGCTGAAAGAGGAGGTACTGTTCTGTATCCGGCTGGCTGAAGTGTCTAGAAGTCAGAGCCTGCCAGGGTGGAGCTTCCCTTTGCTTTCTTCCCCCTGCTGGAAAAGCCCTGATTTTGGTGACAGAGAAATTGTGCCACTTCAAAATACTTGTCTGTGCTATTTGCTTGTCAAAGTGGAAAAAACAAGATTCTGAATTCAACTTTGAGGTGAATTCCATAGCCACCAAGAAATAAGTACATATGCAGAGTTGCTCTCTGCTTTTCTTCTGTGTGGGGTGCATCTAGCTCAGGCGTACACGGGCAGCATCTGAGTCCCACTTCTAAATTTCCATTTGAATGAAGATCTTCCAAATTTGTTATTTCTTGAATACTGTCTGTGCAGAGGAAGCTTATGCATCCCAGGCAGCAGAAATTTAGTATATGCATTGTCAGGTATTTTGGGGATCCAGTGGCAGCTACACAGACATTTGAGAATGGCAGTGATATGGATACCTTTGAGGATATACTGTGCACTCCTCACATAGTTATCAGTAAATCACAAAATTAAAGGTATGTTTACTGAATGTTGTTTAATAAGTGTATGTTTTAATTAATACGCTTATGTTTCCTCTGAACTGTCATTCGTGGTTTTTCCTGAAGATTGCAGTCCTTTCAACTCACCTGCATTTCAGTGTTGTTTGTACATCAGTTATTTTAGCTGTGGCTGTTATGAGCAAACACCTCAAATTAATGCCAAGCTATTCCAGTATGCATTTATTGAAGAGCTTTTGAATATTGTTCTTCATGATAAAGTTCTTGGGTCCATCAGTTCAGTCTGCCAGGGCAGAATAAAATCTTCAGGGAGTTCAGAGCTGGGAAGTGACCTCAGCCAGCTGAGATTCAGCTTCAGTTTTCTGCGCCTTTAAAGCCCATTGATTCAACCAGATCTCCCACCTTCAAAACTTCTGTAAGAAAAATCTGCCAGGCATTCTAAGTGGAAAACTGATAGTTCTGCCTATTAATTTTGTGTTTGTTTCCTAGCCAGCGTGCTTGCAACAAATGTGGATAGAGCCTTCCTAAATCTTCGTTTACGAAGCCTAGCCATGATGATGTTTCCTAGCTGGGCTTCAGGACCACCTTTAACTTTTGGGAAAGGCCTGCACTGTGCTGTTATCTGACTGAACTCTTTTCCCTTTCCATCTGTCTTCACTAAAAAAACTAAGAGTAGAAAACTGTTGCAGATGTTAGGCACAGCACTCAGCAGAAACCTCACTGAATGAAAAGGGATGACCTTTGTGCACAGCTCCTTTCCTCTGCTCCATTCTTTCTGACAGTACTGTTGCATTTTAATCGTCTCTGTTCTAATCTCACTGATGAATTCTCCCAAGAAATCAGTTTTGGGGTACAAGGCTAATAAATGTTTTGAGAAGCCCATAATTCCCTTTTCTGGAGTCTGTATGATACATTCAGATTAATCAATCAACAGTCTCTGAATATTTAGTAGAAAAACTTTATACACACTTGATGCTCTTCTGAACCACCAGTAAGGTCAATTCATACTCCTGGGTACTGCTAGATATTCTGTAAAAGTCAAAACGATCTGTAGCATATGTAGAGGAACCATTCTGTTCCATTCCTAAATTCAACATATAAAACAACATGAATGAAATTTTCCATTATCTGCATCTGACTGAAGTATCCCAGTCTGCTCCTCACACTTTCCCTGATCTCCAGGAAAAATGAAAATACGGAAGTTTCTAAAGCAGGCATGTTCACTGTTTATCAGGAGTGGATTGTATTTTTAGATGCTCAGTTCTGTCCCCTGATTCTGCCCAAACTGTTATATCTGCCTTTGCCCATTCTGTTTTAAAATTTAGAGATTCAGACACTTTATTTTTCTTTCTTGTTTAGTGGAAGATTCTTTAAATATTTTCTATTCTTCCAGTAAGTCTATTGTCGTCCTGCAAGAGGAGTGAGCATAAACTTCATGGTGCCTTTTGTACCCTTTTTTTGCTTGTACATGTGCATACAGTATCTGGAGGCTGCAAAGGCTTGTTCATGTTGCCATTTATCATTTTTTGTTTGCTTTTACAGATTGTTTGTAAGAGTTCATCATAACTGTTTATAGCAGTCCTAAACTCTCTATTAAATAAAATTTCAACAAGTGGTTGCCCTAGTTTCAAGGTTTCTTCTTAGTGGGGAGTCTGAAGTCAATTGCCTTTTTAGACATTCTTTCTCAGTTTTGATACTGTTTTCTCCTGATCATTACATCTTTACTATCTTAGATTAAAACATATATGTTTAAAATTATATTGTTCTTTAAAATGTTTAAAATCATATTAATCAAACTGTTGTTACCACACTTGGTATTTCATACCAAACAAATATTGGGGATTTTTTGTGTGATTGCATGTTTAGCATTTGCATTCCCTAACAGAGCCATTTCTGGAAAATGGGAATAATATCCAAAAACAACATGTAATTTTATTCCAGCATACACAAAGAAATCTATGCCAACCCTGAATTACAGACCTGACTGTTTTGTTTCACGATTTCTGATTTCTAATGGATTTATTTTATTACCTTTTTATTCTGATTTTGTCCTTATTTGACCCCTTTGTCATGCAGTGCTCTGGTTGGTTTTTTTTATTTTTCCATACCTTCATGCTCTTCAGGTACGCACTGCTTTGTCGATTCAGGTTTTATATTTTAGGAATAACCAATTGAACACTTCAAATAAGATTTCAGCTGAATTCAAATTCTCTTTCTGAGTTGCTGCAGTGATTAGTCTGTTGTCCCCAGATCCTCACATAGCGTTAAAGCATCCCCATGATCATGGTACTCATTCCTGAGTATGTCCTCCATGAATTAATTTCTTCAAGAATTCAGTCCTAAAAATGTGATTTTTTTTTTTGTACAAACATATATATTGCATATATTGTAACTATGGCTTGTTTTCTCATCTGGACATTTCTCATATATTGCTCTTGATTGATTTGGGGGTCAGGAAGGTTAAATAGTAACTTAGATTCTTCATATTCTTTGACTGTTCTCCCTCAGGAGTGGGAGGATCAGAACACTGAGTCTGTACGGACTTGCCTAAAGGGAAGCCCTATATATTTTCAGTGGGTTTTTTTTTCCTGCTAGTACTAACGCATTTACATTTCATTTCACATGCTTGGTTTTTAAAACAAAAGTCTGTGCCTCCTGAGGGGTGAACTAGCATTTTCTAATTTTTATAAGCATCTCCTCACACTGGTATTGTCTGTAAACACTTGAATCCTTCAGGACCAAAGAATGGAACTCAGTGTCAGTAAACGAATCACGTTTATTGCCCTCTAAGTGTTTACACAATGACAAAAATCAAGCCTCCAGAGAGTCATATTGTAAAAAGAAACAGTTGGTTTAAATTAGGTTTCCATGTGAAATATAGCTACTTTTTATGGATGTTGTGGGAACATAAACTGGAAAGACAATCTGCACACTGATAAAATGAAGATTTGATTTTTATTTGTTTAAATGCAAACAGAGTCACGTACTAAGTTGATTTCTGATTCTGGCATTAATTAGTCATCAAGCAGAAGTTGGTCATATAGTCACACTTAGGAAGGAGGGGGGTTTCTTTGTTTACTTCATTTGTGATCATGCAAGTAGATAATGTTAACTACCTTAAATGTTCAACGCATGTGGGACTTTGCAAATTTGAACATTAAAAAATCTACCAGTTTTGTGAAATTACCCAAAACAAAAAAATTCCTGTTTATCAACTTTTACTGGCCATGTTATTCAGTGTGAGGCTGAGATTTGTAAGCCATGTAAGTGCGAATTTACACTGCAGATCTCTCCGGCAGCTTTAGAAACCACCGCTAGCTTAAGCTGTCCATTTTCTTCTGTGGTCTCAATGCATATTCAGAATATCTTATATTAAGATGCAGTAGGATTTTGTTTAATAGAAGTTTTTCTAGAGTAGTTAATAAATTAACTGTTGTAATGGGAATATGTCTCTGTGTAAGTTGTGTTTGCAATGCATATGTGATTTGGCCATGAGCATATAGGTGGAATTTTGACTGATAACCTCCTGATGGAAAAAAAAAAACAAACAAAAAACCCCACATTATCTGTCAAGTATACATGAATGCTCCAAGTGACATTGCTTTACTGTGTGGTTTATTTTACAAGGTGAGCTCGTGGGTTACCTGGCTGATCCTGACTGCAGGTTCTATGGAGGAGAAACGAGAAGTCTTCTCATATTTAGTACATGTGGCAAAATGCTGCTGGAATATGGGCAACTACAATGCTGTAATGGAATTTCTGGCAGGGCTAAGGTACTGGCAACTCTTTTTTCTAAATGGCTTTTCAGTGATGGATTACACTTCAGCCAGCCTCTGTTAAGCAGATGTCTCTGGAGAACAATGAATTAAACAGAAATCTGTGGCTAAATCACATCATCTCACAGTGACTTTCTAGTAATCCCTTCTGGAAAAATGAAGTATGCTAAACGTTTTTTTTTTCTCAAAATGCGTTGGAGACTCTTGTCAGTTTTCATGGTATACGCTGAATATGTTGCATTAGAAAACATATTTTTTTTTTTAATAGAAATTTTTTAAATATGAAAAGAAAATGGGAAAGCAGTTGTGGTTTATCTAGTGAGCTACAACTAATGTAACTTGGGGTAGGAGTCTCCAGAACACAAATGAAACGTAATTGTGGTGACATTCTAAAAGGATCAGTCTTAAATGTAAAAAAAAAAAATCAACTCCAAAAGAACTAAAAAACCCCAACAAAACCAAGCAGCCAAATCTAGTTTTTAACCTCTCCATTAACTTATACAGATGGATGTTGGGATCTCATGTTGTTGTGGTCTTATATAGAAGGACCTGCAGTATCTCCAGGAGAAAGAGAGATAGGGGGTTAAAGACAGTTCACTGCTTGCTTCCCTATGGAATTACAGGTTCACCATGCAGGGCTGGGTGAGCCAGAAAGCAGTGCCTTAGTACTGGCAGTTCACAGGGCAGCAAATGGGACCGAATGAGGAAGAGTTAAGATCAGATTTCCCTTCTCTTAGCTTTAACCCTCCTTGTATGTACTGTTTGTGTAACAAAGCTCTAAATTGTTTACATTGCTTTTTTTTGTGGTTTAGTAAGGACTCTGATCGAGCTGTGTTTATATTTTTGGTATATAAAACATATTTGAAACACTCACAGACGTGGGGAATACATTTTGGCAGAATACATCCACAATCTCCAAGCCGTGTAAGTTATGAGGGAAAATGTAAAGCCAATTAAGGGCTTAATTTTATCTCTAAAGCATCTGCACAACACAAGGGAAAGAGAGGAGAGGAAGGCCAGTGCTGATTAGCAGTGTTTCTGGGACAGAGACAGAAAGTGGGGTTAAGGGCATTCTATTGTGAGCATTTCTATAGACCTTTTGGTATGTCTGAATCCAGAGGTGGGCAGAAAGGCCATATAATTGCACAGACATACAGCTCAGATGATGAGAGAACTCCCAGAGGTACTCGTAGTTCTTGGAGCTATTTCTGTTTGAAATCAGAGTTTCTTGTCAGCTGCAGCTCTGCGCTGGTGCCTGAGACCTGAAGCGCGGTCCTGACTTCCTTATTTCCATGAAAATAAATAATTTGTGAACAAAACAGAAAAAACCCTCTATTTAATTTTGTAAAAATACATTTAATTAAATAACACCAGCTTTTGCTAACTTTATGGATGGTTCATAATATAATTACAGGAATTTGTAAGAAACAGTCTGGTTTATCTTTATGTCATTTCCTTAATCTTTTCTTATTTCTTTCTAAGTCCTTAGAAATTTCAGGCAATGACACAATGAAAGTGTTAGAAGACCTGCTGGTATATCTTACACAGCTGGTCTTTTGTTAAAATGTGACATGTCACTCCAGTAGATAAGACTGCTCGTGTCTCCTTTTTAGCTTTGTTCATTAGTAGTTCTGAGGGCAGAAATATCTTAAAAATAATTACCTTGATTTCATTAATTAATTAATTAATTCATTCATTGTAAATTGTAAGGTAAATTGTTTTAAATTATTTTATTAAGTGTTGTGATCTCTTTTTGCAATAGGTCAAGAAAAGTTTTAAAAATGTGGCAGTTTATGGACCAGTCTGATATTGAAACCATGCGAAGTCTGAAAGACGCTATGGCACAACATGAGTCATCATCGGAATATAGGAAAGTGGTCAACCGGGCCCTCAATATTCCAGGCTGTAAAGTTGTTCCTTTCTGTGGTGTATTTTTAAAAGAGCTTTGTGAAGTTTTGGATGGAGCATCAAGCCTCATCAGACTCTGTCCACGATATAACTCCCAGGAAGAAACGTTAGAGGTAAATGAGATAAGGATTTGTAGCCATCCAGTGCTTTATTTTATGTAATTTTATACAAAGGCATCATCTGATTAAAATTTTTTAAACCAGATTGTTACTAGGCTGTTCAGTTACATGGACCTTGATTTAATTCCCATAGATACTTAGCAATTTAGATTTGGTTGTTTATACGTAGTTCAATATCAGAGTACTGAGAAATTATATTAGTAGCAAAGGATCATGTTAGATGAAAAGATTAAGACTGAGGCTTTTTTAAAGTTTTCAGGAATTACTGTAATTTATGTTACTTGATTTATGAAGTCATTTGGTCTAGTTTGGATTGCAAGTAGGCACAGAATCCCGTTGGAAGCTAATAGGAAATATGCACTAAAATATTCTTAGTTGTAAAAATTCCTACAGTGAGAAGTAGATGACACAAGGTTCTATTTATAGCTATACTAATCTTTTAGATATCTCTAGTTTGTTTCAGATTACAGTGGACAAGATAATTTCTTGCAACGAGTAGGTCAAGATGGTTTAAATAATCCAGAAAAAGAATCAACAACAAACAGTATCTTTCAAACTATCCGGAGCTGCAATCGCAGTTTGGAATCTGAGGAGGGTGAAGATAATGTTAGTGAAGGGAGCGATTCAAGAAAAAACTCTTTGAAGGACAGAAACCGGTACCAGTAGGTTTCATTTTATTTACTATCATCACATGTATATTTCATGGTTTTAGTTTTTAATTTCCTTTTACCAAGGCTTGCTTTTAGCAATAAGGGCAACTTTAACACTTTCCCTTGTATTTATCTTCTTCAAATTCAGAGCTTTTCTCCACTGCAGTTACTCTAAGTATCTGATACTCAACTGCTTGGAAACTCTCTGTATAGTTATATTTTCCCTCATGATGTAATTACTTCCTTTCATGATAAGAGTAAATCCTTTTCGTCTTACACATACAACTTTAAAAATCCACAGTTACAATTACAGTCTTGATCTCTAGGGACAGGAATAGCACCAGGACATATTTGTTATCAGAGCTCAGAACATAATATTCTACATGCTCAAGCAGTGTTCTACCCCCTTCAAAATAAAGGTTATTTATTATCCTTCAAAAGACCTGTTCTTCGAAGGACATATTAGTTTGAGGCTTTTAAATTTTGTCAAGAAAACATTTGTGAGTGCACATTCTCAGGTTGCTGTAGTCCTGCTATTTTGCAAAGAATTTTACGTCACTATGCTCTATGTCAAAAGTAGTCTCTGATTTCGCTTTGAAGACCTGATATATTCTGTACTATTCACCAGCAGGATATATGGTAAATGCAAAGTTTAAGACATCCCATGATCTTCTAAAATGTTGCTTTGCAATGAAGTCTGGTTGCAAAGCCCATGTAGACATAAGTGGGTCAGCTTTAAACTAAGTAACTGTTAGACAAACGTCAAATTAAGTAACAGAACTGTACTGTTCTGAGATGAAACACTGTAAAATTACATGAGGGTTTGCATAAAAAAAACCTGCTTAAGTCACTGCTGATTTTATTGGTAATGTCTGTCAGAAATCCATATGTCCAGAACCATCCAACGTATTTCAGCTACTTAAACATAAAATCTAATAAATGACCACCTGAGAAGCAACTACCATCTTCCTGCTTAAAATGCATTTATTTCATTAACATGTAATTCTAAATTTCATTTCAAATAAATAATCATTATTTCCTGAAAGAATGGTTTCTAATAGAATTATTCACATCTGGCTTTAGTTCCTTCTGGGAAGTGGAGCAGTAGATTAAAGCAAGAAAGACAGACCCACTTCTCTGTCCATTTATGTTATCTCTTAACTTACTTCAGTCCAAGTACTTTCTTCCAGGCATTATTTTTTGTTCATTAATATGCTTCAAAATCAACTTGCAAATTGCAGTTCAAATGGAGAATAAGCTAGGCAAATCAACATTTCACTAGGATGAACAAAATAGTAATTAAATGTAAAAGAACAGTATGGAGACAATTGAGTAATTTTTTAATGTGTTTATGAAATAATTTCTTGGTAAATTAGTTATTTGTGCTTTATATTTAAATATAATCTAGCAAATTCCACTCTAAGTAGGAATTAAATAAAAAAAAAGCCAATATGAATCTGAAATGAAAGTTTAAAATTCAAATGAACAAAACTGCAGACAGATATTTAAAGTTATGTTTCCTGATTCAGAGCTACTAACTACTCAGTTAGTAGTATCTGTACTTATGATGCAGTAAGTTCTGATTTTAGTAGTAAAATGAGTTGTAGGAGAATACTTGTGAAATGCTGATTTAGCTCAATTACTTCATAGACTAGAAATTCCTTATGCACTTGCCATCTCTTTCCTGGGCATGCAGAGAGCTGGGTAAAGCACAGGAGCAAATTGGTGCAGAGGCAGAAGGTCCATATTCTGTTGTCCTTCTTGTATGGAGGCTGTGATTTTTGATTTATTTTTAATTCTATAAACTGATAAAGAGTTCTAAGGAAGAAATTTAGTCCTCTTTCTTGTGAGACCTGTCATATTTGCATGCAGTGTTATAAAATCCAACTTATGTCATAAATATGTATTACCTGATAATTGTAATGATGTGATCTTAAAGGCAGAAAAATACACTGCATAACATGTTCCTCATTACTTTAAAATTGCAAGAAAGATTTTCAATTAGTTTTTCTTTTGATGATTTGGATTAGCATTGGGGAACATGAACACACCAAAGCTGGTAGGTTAATTTGATTTGCAGAAAATGAAAGGCATCTAATAGAATCAGTGGGCAATGGGTATAATTACTTTCCTGGTTGAGTAAACAAATAAGCTCTATCGTTCTGTAACCAGTGACCCATCTAATCACCCTGAATTCTGTACATGCCAGATAAATATCAAACATTAATCTTTATTAGAACTCTATTTTGACAGTTCTCAAATAAATAAAGATAGGTAGGAAAATACAAAAAACCTCCAAGTTTAAAATACAGTTTTTATGGCATTTTTAATCAGTTGATCTATTAAGATACTCTAAACTTTGATGCATTGCTTTATTAGCCTGATCTCATCTTCACATTTAAGCTTTTCTAATTACAGTAAATAACTTATAGAATAATAGGAGAAAACCTAATTTTTTCTTTTTGCCTACCCTGCAATTTTCTCCTCTAAAACTGCAACCTGTCTTACTGTTTTCTTTATCTTTTCATTTCCTTGCATCTCAGTGCAGCACTTAGAAAGAAAGCCTCTGGTTCAAACCGAGTTCTGTAAGTGTTCTCAGTAATCGATGGCAGTGTCGCTTTTGGCAGCTCCTGTCAGAGTTCTGTTTCTGTACATGGTTACGTGTGTGTGCCTGGCTCCCCTGCTGCTTTACAGTTTAATCTGTGGCCTGCAACGTGCTATCAAACAAAGTTCTGCGATTTCTGTCTCTGCTGTACTATACTCTTTCAACCATCCACACCTTGTCTCAGAATACATTTTCTAGCATTTTTACAGAGACTTATTTGGTTGTTTTGAGGACATAGAGGAGAAAGAGCTGCTTCAGTTGTTTGTTTAATTTTAAAATGTTAATCTTGTATAATACAGGTAAATATTTCAATTTACATGTGTCTATAAGACTCTAGGAAGACAATTTATATCAGCTCAGTTACAATGCATGGCCTTTATTTTTAGAAATATTCCTTAAAGAAAATAGTTATTCTGTCAATCCCCTCACCACAAGCAATAAATCCTCAGACTATTGGTCACTTCTTTATAAATTTGGTAAAGAGTTGGAGACCTCACCAGTTAATAAATTAATTTGTGGCCCAGGTAGAGAAGAGTTTTTGGGAAAACTAATGGTCATCTGTACAGTTTAGCACTAGAGTATGTGACTCGTTCTAAGTCACAGCATGACTCATGTTTTGCTCAGTTGGTAGGACAGGGGCAGGAACTGAGAGTACTGTGGCAATATGAAGGGGAAGCACAGAGGGTATTAGGACAAGATTTCTTAAGGATATGTAGAGGAAGATGGTTTGTATTTTATTGGCTGGATATCCTTAGGAAAATGTGCTTCATTACTTCTGTTTGCACAGAACAGTTTGTTCTTTTTTTATGTTCACTGAAGAAGTATCAAAATATTGAACATTTATGCACTCATACATGTTAGAAGCTTCTTCAGGGAAGGCATTTTATTTAAACTGCCTCTTCTGTTAGTTCAGTATTGCTACTCTGTATCTGCTGTTTCTAATCATGGCAAAATATTTCAAACATTTCAGTTGCTGCATACAAGTTTTATGTTAATATTTTCGTTAAGTAAAATTAAATTTTCTGGTGGAAAATATCTGACAAAATTCTTCCTGCATTCTTATAAGGAAGGTGTGTATTTTAACCACTATTTTACTAGTGTTAATCAGAGTATTATATACTGTGAAAGATCTGCACCTTAAATCAGTAATAGAACAGAGATTAGAAGTCCTGTCTTCAATCCACTAGATCCTGCTAACAGTTTTCACATATGGTACCTGATATTTCAACTGAAGCAATCTTATGCTGTGAATTTAAAAACTGTAATCACTTGGCTTTAAGAACCAATCAGACATCTCTATTGTTAATGCAAAGTTTGGAAAGTTCTAAGAAAATGTAATTATATTGTTACGGCATCTATTAATTCAAAATTTCAATAACATAAATTGTGATATTGTAAAAGCTACAAAAGTTCCTGTAAGTTGCAATTATAGTGATGATAGTGTTCTATTTATTTAAACCACAGCAGAAAAAGTATTCATCAATCATAGCATAAATCAGCACATGTATCATTAAATATAAATCTCTCATCTTTGCTCACATGCAGATTTATAATTGGAGACCTTTCAGATTCTGAAAGTGACATATTTGAGCAGTTGAAGGAATGGGACACAAATTCAACAGAAGAGCAACAAAAGGCTTTCTGCCATGGGATAGAACTCATTCCCTGGTACGTGTTATCTATCAGGGCTGATGTCCATCAGTTCATGCAACAAGGGGCAACCGTCATTCATTATGACCAGGAGACACATCTCTCAGCACGGTGCTTTCTTCAACTTCAGCCTGACAATAGTACTTTGACTTGGACAAAACCCACAACAGTTTGCCCTGCAAATGCTAAGGCAAAACTGAGCATGCTGGGTAATACTGCTGAGCTTGGTAAATACCAGTTTCTTGGTAATACTGGACTGGTGGAAGGTTTTTTGGACTTGTTTTCAGCCAAGGCTGTATATATGGGACACTCGGGCATTGATATGCACACTGTGTGTGTTCAAAATAAACTGTGTAATATGTCCCTTGAAGAAAATGGTATAACACTACTTTATGGACTTCAGACTACTGACAATAAGTTGCTGCACTTTGTTGCTCCAAAATATACTGCCAGAATGCTGTATGATGGATTGCTGGAATTGACTAAAGCTGTAAGAAAAATGAGGAAATTCCCTGATCAAAGACTACAGTGGCTACGGAAACAGTATGTCAGCCTTTACCAGGTAAAAGATGCTGTGATTCTGTATACGAAAATTTCAAAGGTATCAACAACTTAATGTAATCCAATTAGTTTCTGTTGTAAGTAAGGTTCAATTAAAGATGAGCACCAAATCTCCAACTTTGTAACATTGTTTAAGTCAATAAGATCTGATTCTCCAAATAATGTTATGTCAAACCTTACAAGTTTTGAATACATTGAGGTTAATTTTTTTTTTCTTATAAAGCTCTTCATATGTTTGGAGTTTTGGAATAAGTATTTTATTAAAGAAAAAGCAATGACAGTACTTGAAAAGGAAGCTGAAATACTGAGCGATTAGAGTTAGGGCCAAAAAACCCCCACAAAGCAGCAAACAAAATAGCCCTTTGGTATTCATGCAGTAATTAAAAATTGCCTCCTCTTGATGTTTTGTCTTTCACTGGTTCTTCAGAGATGTCTGTATTATTGCTTTAAAAAATGTGTCTGTTCTTATTCTCCTTGTTTTGTTAACACTGAGAATTTTTGTAGGAGGATGGAAGGTTTGAAGGCCCAACTTTGGCTCAGGCTGTTGAACTGTTTGGAGGCAGACGATGGAGTGCAAGAAACACAAGCACGGGATCTCTCACCAAAAGCACTGAGAAACCTAATGTACAGAGAAACAACACTCTGGGAATAAGCACAGCTAAGAAAAAGAAGAAAGTACTCATAAGGGTAGAATATTTTGTTATTTGTGTATTTTGTTACTTACCTGGCTGATTTGTTTCCTTCTTGTAGTTACTGTGTAGCTGTGTTCTGAACCGGAGAAAAAAAGTTAGATGATAATTTTAAAACTGTTTATCGCAGTTTCAGAATTTGTGGTTATTGTTTTCCAATAGTTTTGGTTTCTTTTCTCATGCCTGAAGCATTCTTAGGACATGTAGGTGCTGGGGCTAGCAGAAGGGGACAGAATCTTCTTGCAACCTTTAGATATTGCCTCAGTATAAAGGTAAAATATTGGTAATAATAAAAATATTAGCATGCAAAGTGACATCTGGAGGCCAATGTCACTTTTTAAAATCGTTTTTATTTTCATATTTCCAGAAATATTACCACAGTTATTCCACCTCATGTTAGCACACAGTTTTGTCTCATGGGTGACAGAAACATGACCTAGTCTGGCAGTCTTCTCTTTTTTCCTGGACTCAACTGCTTTCAGCAATAGGAAGAAGAGAGGATAGTGCAGGAACTAGCAGCTCTACACTATCCACATGTTCTTCTAGTGGGCAGGTAGGGAAGATCCTTAAATGGGAAGAACCATCCTCTTTGGGGCTCCTGTGCACCAGTAAAATAGTGTAAAACCAGCTGAAACATTTTAGAGAGGTTCAATCACTGTCATCTTCTGTGTGATGTCAAACTGAGGTAACAGGTAGCGGTCCCACACTTCACTATGTATCCTGTTTAAGTTGTCTCTTTTCTACTGGTATTGGTCTTACAGGAGTCTGTTTCATAAGGAATAGCTGATTTACCTCATGGTTTTGTTGCAGGTTGAACTGACAAAGAATGGAAATAGTAGTGGGTTTGGGATGTTTATTATGATGCTCATTATTTCCAGGGTGAAAGTGGAGAGGCCACCGATGATGAAATGGCAACACGGAAGGCAAAAAGCTGTAAGGAATATCGTAATAGAAGTGGCTCAGATCCTCAAGATATTGATGAACAAGAAGAACCAGGTATATATATTGCTTCAGTACTTAAAAGTCCATCAGGTTTTTGCTCAAAGTCTTTTTATGCAGACATTTTTTTGGCATGTTAAAAATAAATTTATTTTATAAACCTACTTTTGCAGTTGAAACTCCAAATCCTGTAAGCTTTTAATTTAATTTCTCTAGTTGTTAACTATTGTTCTTTCATTTAGTTTCAGTAGCACTCCCTTTCCATTAAGATGAAATGTGTCTGTAAGTGTTGTTCAGTTTGGACTTTTTTGGCTGTTTTGGGGCAAATCTAGAATGCTGTTACTGTCTTACTCTGTGTTAATGAATTGAAAAAAACATTTTTATTAGGCCAGATGTAATTGTGATGAAAACTTTTGTTTTCTCCATAGATCAAAATATTATTATTAATGCTTCTCCATCTAACAACCTGCCATCAAGAAGAGCTCACTCTCTGACAGCATCGGGGTCTCCAAACTTAGGAGCTACGTCACCTTCACCAGCAAGACCAGTCTCCTCTCCTGTAATATCTTCAAGCAAGAGTCAGTCTAGGTAAGGATTTAAATCAATGCTTTGATTTAAAAAGAAAAGAAGTTACTGCTACTTATCATCAAATGTGGGTTTTGTGCCAAACTAGCAAAATCTGACAAAAACAATGCCAGAAATGCCATTAGCCCTTTTGTAGACATCTAAAACACATTGTAGGACAACACAGGACATTTAAGCTGAAATATCATGAATCTGAGGATGCCTTTGTAGCAAGTCCCCGAGCAGCATGCTTGAGTTTATGTCTGTTACAGAAGCAGATTGGAATGCTATTCCGAAACTACACAAATATGGAGTTTAACTCTTTCTCCAGATCTTCTCCAAAACATAGTTATAGACATCTTCATAGTGCAAATCGACAGCAATGTTATAGATGTGTGAACTGAAGCTCTGAGGTTTCTCAGCACAATTCATTTCTACCTGGGGGAATAATAACTTTTGCTGACATTTCTGGTGGTGATTGCAGTATTGTCTTGGGAATCAGAGGAACAGATTTGAAATCTTTCTCTTATAAGCTTCTTTTCCTTGAACATTCATCCTTTTTATGTCACTTAGGCAGTGTAAAAGCTCATTATGTTATGTGCAGTGGTATAGGGCACTATTGTATTAATTGTATAAATAGTAATGGTGGTGATGGTAGTGATTGCAGTAATAATATAACAACCATAATATGTCAGGGATGTGGATGGTACTTTATAACATACAAGAAGACAGTCTCAACAGAGGCTTTCCAGTACCTTTTAAGAGAATGAATACTGAAATATGGTTATGAGTATGAATCTTGGGGGTTCCACAAGAGCAATAGTAAAAAATGGAAGAGATTACTGATGTTGGTATAACATTACTTTTGAAGAGGTGTGTCTTGTGTATTTCTTGGTGATTTTATTTATACTTAAAATAGTTGGGTTTAGCAACAGGTGTGAGTAGTAGAGCCACGTGTGGACAGATGTGGTTGGCTTAACACTGCTTAACACTGCTTTCTGAGATTCTTACCATGTTTTTTACTTTTTGTTCCTTGCTATCATTCACAAACCTGGATTTTTCTCTCTAAGCTTTTATCTTTTTTTTTTTTTTTTTGAGTATTAGAACAGATTTCTTTTACATTAAACTGAAGAAATACTGCTTTACCACCTCTGGAAAATGCTTCTGTGTTTTGCAAATCTGCTTTTTACTTTTATGCCAAAATGCTTGTTGTTCTCTAAAAGAGATTAAAAGGCTCAACGGGGAACTCGCATTCCCCAGGGAAGGACAGCTAATGTTCTTTTAAATCCTCTCAGTCCTGAGTTTCTGTACAGATCCCTGCATAGCTTAGCACTGTGGGCCTCCCCAAGTTATCACAGGTTTTCCTTGGCAAAGTTTCCCCAGCAACTCCATACATCCCTTGGTAGAGCACTCCTAAATTTGCTATGACACTTCTTGCTTAAACTTGCTATGACCCTTCTTGCTAAAATTTGCTGGGGATACAACTATATGGCTGTTTCATCTGTCCCGAGGAAATCTTCTCAGATCAGACTTACATGTTTTACCCATTACCTTGACCTAATTTTTGTAAGCCATTAAGAGATTTGGAGCACTGGAGAGAGTTTTATTCTTGTTATTTAGTCTGTGGACCCTTGCTAGGTCTGAATTATGCTTGCCAGTTTTCATGTGTGTGGGCACTTCACATGTGCCTCAACTGTGATCAGTGAGTCCAAGTTATCAAATAATTGGCTGTCTGCTTTACTGCAAAGTCTTGTAATCTTCCACCTTATATGTGTATTACTTCACTCCTGGGATATCTTTTATAGTAAACCAGCTGGTTGCCTCCAATATAGAATTTAGGTGCTCTTCTGGGAATAGGTGCTCCAGAGACTTCTGTAATTAGATGTCTGGATGAAGAGCTTACTCAGACTCAAACCATCAAACTGTCTTGGAGGACACAGCAAGGTTTGTACCTTCAGGCAATCCACCCACAGTCATGGCATGTCCTGTTGCTTTATGTTGCATTAAATATATGGCAATCTGTCAGGCAATAACATGCCATAGCTTATTTCAGCTGTTTCAGATATAAAACACACCAAACATGAAACAGTGGCAGGATGGCTCTCTGTGGCAGCAGAGGTAGAAGTGAGGGAGGAGCAGACTGAGGCAGTGGTTCACAAGCTGTGGTACATAAAGACTGTGAGCAGCACAATGTTTTTACTTCAAACTGCTGCCCTTAACTCTGGTGATATGCAAGCAAAGTAAGTTTGGGAACCCACACAGGCTGAACACAGCCATTTTTTGTTTCTCTTTTGCTCAATTTTTGTTGTTATTCTGCAGTCAAGTTATATACTTAGTTATACCCTACAGGTTTTGCCAGTATCATTACAAATTAAGATAAAATGAAGTATCCATTTTCCAAAGTAACAGAAAGTTTGAATGACCTAGATAATGAAATATACACATTTGTATAAGCACTGCACAGATGAGAGCTAATGAGGAGATGAGCAGAGTTTAGTAATTCAGATTAGCATCTGGATTTAGGCTCGAACACTGGCAAGGCTTCATAGTTGGAGGCAGTGTTGGACATGAGCTGGTTGTGCACATTAGGCGCCTGCACAATCCCTCACAGAACCTGGAGCTTAGGAGAGCAGTGGGCAGAGGGTCCCACCAGCAGCACAGAAAGCTGAGCTGGTGACAAATGATTGCTGCGTCCTGCAGTGTAGCAGGAGGGCAGCAAGAGAGATTTCTAGTTCTTTTTCTCTTGCCATATAGTATGTGCATCATTCTACCTGAGCAGTAAATTAGAACATCTCCACTGAATGAGAAGTGCTAAATAAAATAACATTTTTTAAAGTGGAAAAATATTTCTAAATATAATGATAAAAGTTGAAAAAGAGGAGGACCTGGCTATCTTTATTGTACATTTTAAATAATAGTAATTATTATGGGTACAGAGTGAAAAATGGTATTTTTCTATATATAACTCATAACCTTGATATTCCTGATGTCCTTACAAATAATTTACATTCAGATAAATCCTTGTACAATCCAAATGTCCAGATGATTTCTGAACACAGGTAGCCTGCAGCTGATTTTGTCATTCTTTCAAAGCAGATGTGCATATGACAAATTTCCAAGGTCTTTGGAAATCTAGAGCCACCTGTAAGGTGGAGGAAGCAGGAGAGAGGGTGATAAGGCTGCTGGAAAATGGACCACAGGATATAGAAAACTAGAGAAGTGGGCTTTTTTTGTGAAGAGAGAATAAACTGCCCCTCTCATTAACTGTATACAGGTGTAATCCAGACTGCCACTAATTGCAGTTTTGGTTGTTGGTGATGGTGAGGTTTTCTTGGGGTTTTTGGCTCTTTTTTTTAGCAACCTGTATTATCCATGGAATGACTCTGGAAGACAGTCTTTAGTGATCAGATCTAGTAGAATGTTGAACATTTTCTTCTGCTGTTGGTCTTCCATTTGGTACTCTACAGATCCAGTCTGTTTTGTGGAGTCTAGAGACTTTCCTCATCATGGTTTATTTTTCTTGTCTGATAAAAATGTTAGGAATTATTTAGTCCAAAAAAAGTTATATGCAGTATGTCAGTACATGCCATAATGATGTCAAACAAATCGAATGTTATCAACTAAAGTAGATGGTATTTTTTTCTACTTGTAAGTCACATTCTGTTTTCAATTATATGCATTCATCCTAGCCCAGGAGTAAATTGAGGATTCTGATCTAGCATATTTGGGTAAAAAGTCACCTGCTTGCAGGCATGTCTTCAGGAACACTGGCCAACAAGCTGGTCCTGTTTTTCCATCACAGCTGTTGGAACTATTTGTACTGAACCTGATGGCAGAATTCATAGATTAATGGATTTGTGTATAACGTTACAGAGCAATTAAGTCTGACACACGGTTGCCTAGTTTGATATTTTGAAACAAATACTGCAACTTCTGCAGTTATGGTTTAAAGCAGACAGTTGTTTGCTTAGATCCCTCCCTTTTCAGGATGGTGGTGCTGGCAGATTCCATTCCTGCAGGGTGTGTTCATTGCTGTTTAGGCCCAGGAGGGGGCTCAAGAGCTCAGCCCCTCATTGCAAATTCCTGCATGTAATTCACTAAGGACTTGTTCATGCTTCTCAAGTGAGGGCCTAACTACACTTAAAAGTGTAAATCTGTAGTAGGCTGAAGATTTTGGGAAGTCACTTTTGGAAATGTACTGGTTCTATTTCAAAAACTTTATTCAGCTGCACAACTTAGATTAATGATTGCAGTTACGGAGCGATTGGCTGGGCTTGGTATTACTCAAATCAATTAAAATAAATAGCACCAAGCAGCTAGTTGTTTCTGTGATCATTTTCTACCTTTTCTCTCAAGAAATTCCAGTTTGCTTTCCTTCCTTCAGTCCACAAAGCTGAAAGGAGGAAATCATTAGAACCTCATTTGGTTCTAATGGACAGTAACTCTCCAGGGGCTATTGTCCGATCTTAACAGAAGAAGAAGAGGACTGTGGTTTGACCTGTCTTTGAGGTATCTGATGACAACCCCAACCGTTCTTGGGAAGCATCCGAGAAAACCCGTGGGCTGGGAAACAATGAGAGTTGAATGCCAGGAAAGGGGAAGGGTTATACTTCTTAAAATCTGCACCGTCAATGTTCCCAGATGTAAGAAACCCCAGGTGCATAAGGAAAATACTTGGTTTTCCTCCGTATCCAGTCAGAATATTAGCATTTTATTTTGACAGCAGAACTTCAAGGAATTCTGTTTCCATTTTATTTTTTTCCATGGCAGATCTTTAATGAACTTCATAAAGAGCCTGCATTACAAGAATAATAACATTGTTTTCTTTAAAGGCAAAACAAGAATGCTTTCATTTGTGCCATATGCATCAGGCCCTTTTGCACATGAAAGCTTTAAATACCATGCATATACATTATTTATTCTGGCAAAGTTTGCAGTTGTCTTGAGGGAAAAGAGTAGCTGCTGTGAAACAAGAAGGTACAAACTGTCATTATGCATCTTATAAGATACTGCTTTATTTGCTTCTTCCAGATATTGGTAATAAATGCATTAAGGAGAGCACAAATAAACTATTACTACAGTACTGCATAATGTTTCAATAAAAAGAAGTTTAGTGTACCCAAACTACAGCAGTCTCTTTCTGATTTAGCACATGGAGCAGCAGTAGCTGGCATGGCCGCGTTAAAGGAGGAATGAAGGGGTTTCAGAACTTCATGGTGTCTGATAGTAACATGACTTTTGTGGAATTTGTAGAGCTCTTCAAATCTTTCAGGTAAAATATATCTTTATTTTTTACTGATTTCATTCATCCAAGTTTATAAAAGAGCAAAAATTGAACTTTCCCACTCTTTTTGCAGCGTCCGTAGCCGCAAGGATCTGAAAGACCTTTTCGACATCTATGCTGTGCCTTGCAACCGATCCGGCTTAGACCCTGCTCCACTTTATACTAATTTGAAAATTGATGAAAATACCAGCGGATTCCAGCCTGATTTAGGTTTGTTAAAGAGGAAAATTGAGCTGTGAGACTGCTGAGCAACTTTGGTTATTGGCCTTAATAAAAAGTGTCTCAGTCTCAAAAAGAACCATCAGTTATAAGTAGAGGACTGCTGCCATGCCTTTGCTAAGCAGGATGTAAGACAGAAATGAAGGGAAGGAAAAGTATTCTGGCTTTCCATTAGCCAAATATATTTGTAACCGATAATAGCAGAGGCATAAAACTTGTTGCTGAGTGGCTGAGCTCAAGGATCTGTAGAGGTTACAGGAGCTCTGGAAGTGCTAAAACACTAAGCAAACATAGGGAGTAGAAATAAGGAAGCTGTGGCCTGTGTCTCATTTGGCTGTTTTTTCCTTATCTGGTTTCCTAGTGGATCTGCTTTATGTGGGATAAGGGGAAGCCTCTGTCCCTCTTTACATTCCCCAGTTACCATAATCTCATTCTGAACTTTGGCCACATTTAAAGAAAACAGTCTTTCTGCCAAGCATCTTGTGGGGAGGGTGCAGAACAATTGGCATAGGGGACTGGAAGAAGATAAACAGTGATTGAACAGGAAGAGTATGGGGTTGCACACAGTGAAGGAAAGGCTTTGAGGCTGTTTGTGGTGGTGAGGGGAAGCAGGAGAACCCTGGGTGACAGTGTGTGAGAGGCTGTGGATCCGTGTTCAAGGTTCCAGGATTTTGTTCATAATAATTGAACGCTTATAGTCTGCTCCCATGGACCCTTGTTCTTTTATTAATGAATAAAAACAAGATGGCTTTGTTCTAATTTGCTATGTCAGTGCTAAAATATTCAGGCAGATACTCGTCCACATTGTATATTGCATTATATTCTATACAGTATATATAATACACATAATTATTTGGCTTATAATTATATTCCCTTATTTTTCTTTCAAGATTTGTTGACTAGAAATGTTTCAGACCTTGGTTTGTTCATTAAGAGCAGGCAGCAGCTATCAGACAACCAGAGGCAAATATCTGATGCTATTGCTGCTGCCAGCATTGTTACCAACGGTACTGGAGTTGAAAGCACATCGCTGGGAATATTTGGAGTGGGAATCCAGCAGCTAAACGACTTCCTTGTGAATTGCCAAGGAGAGCACTGTACCTATGATGAAATCCTCAGTATTATCCAGGTCTGTAATACAAATATCTTGTAATTTCTTTTTACTTGAACTCCTGTTACTTCCATTTTCCCCATTACCATTGTCTCCCAGTCAGAATAGCATCTGTGTGGATATCTCCTTTCACACTGATATTGTCACTACCGTTTACTTGAGTTTGAAGTTTAATACTATCTTTATTTTGGGCTAGAAAATTTTATGGATGTCCATAAATAAATTCATTTTAAAATCATGCAAATAAAGAGTTTTATTGGCTATGTGTGCTTTAGCAGGGAAGGGATGTCATCACTTGGGAAAAGTATTTGTGACAGTTCGTTGTTTTCTCCTTGTCTGTGACCACAGTTGATTGAGCTTAACCCTAATTTGGAACTTAAAAAAGCACCATTTCCACATTTTTTTATTTTATTATAAAAAAAATTCCAGAGCAAACATGGACATTTTATTCCCTTTTATACATTTGCTCAAGATTTTAGAAAGTGTATAGAAAATTTTTATTCCTCCAGACATGCATAAGTAATATGATTCCGGATTAACCCCCCCACTTAGCAGTTGACAGAGGCTGAAAACTGTAGCTTTCAACTATCAACATGTAATATAAAACTGTAAAGTTTAAAAGCCAGAAATTCTAAAGAAACATCAAGTTAGACTACCACAAATCTCTTTAATTTGAGATGGTGGTATGTTGTGTTTAAGCATAGTAGATAAGAGTGGGATCCTGATCACAGTGCCTTCTTAATTTCAGCTTAAGTGCTGATTCTGCTTTCAACAGGAAGTTGGATTAGATGACCTCCCAACATCCTTTCCAACCTGAATGATTCTATGATTTACAATTATGAGTTCAGTATATTTGTTTAGTGATTTGTAAAACATAGTTTGCAGGCACATAATTATCCACAAAAAGGCTGGTTTTACATACTGACTGGTGAGTGCTATGAGCAGACTACGCTATGAAAACATGACAAAGACATATTTCTAAGAATTGTTATGATGTATCTCTTACATTTCTTCCTCCTCATAGAAATTTGAACCCAGTGTGAATATGTGCCAGCAAGGGCTGCTATCTTTTGAAGGATTTGCAAGGTAATTACGTATGTGTTAATTTATATATCTATATCTCTATCTATATATATATCTTTCAAGATGACACTAGGGTATTGATGTTTGTATGACAGTCACAAAATGCTTAGCACAGCATAAAATTTCCTCACATCTTCTCGCTTCTAGATTTTTGATGGATAAAGACAACTTTGCCTCCAAAAATGATGAATCACAGGAGAATGCTGAGGACTTGAACTTTCCTCTCTCCTATTACTACATAGAATCTTCACACAACACTTACCTTACTGGCCATCAGCTTAAAGGGGAGTCCTCAGTAGAGCTCTACAGCCAGGTATGCAGGGTTCACTGTGCAGCTTTCAACATGAACTTGTTTGTTTTACTGGCAAGTTGCAGAAACGTGACCTTTTTGCTTTGAAAATCTAGATGTCCTAAACCTCTGCTTGCAAAATGTTGGAAAACATGATGTGTGGGAAAGCTGCCTGTAAGCACAGTTGTGCTCAGATGCCTTTTCTAAGGCAAAAAAAATGGGTTTAGTTTGAGATTCATAGCATTTAGACACCAGTCGGTCTGACCCAACCTACTAAAATTAGACTTTCCCACAGGAAAGACTGATCTAATATTTTAGTTCATTCAGATGTCAAAAACACTACTGAAATACTGTACATTGCACTGCTAAGACAAATTTCAAATGGAACTATAACTTCTAAAAACATTACTTCTAGGAATATTCTACAGGTTTTTAGACTTTATGCCTTATTGGCAGTGAGCAGGAACAAAACAATTTCTCTCGAAGACTTTTGGTTCTGTGTTTGTTTGTATATATATTTTTTCGTGTCTATATTTACAAAATGCTAGAGAAAGCATCAAACTTCCTGTCAGTAGTGTTTTCATTACTTTAAATGTTAATGACTCATCATTGAGAAGGGCTCATCTGGTGTCCCATGTGCTCCTTCACCTGGGGTTCTAAGACAGAGGGATGAGGCTGTGTTAGGAAATCCTGAATAACGTGATCACATTGAATAATGCAATTGCAGAGGTTCCTGTAGTAGCACTACATGGTGATGTGAGTATTGTGTTGATAATAGATGGGAAGTGAGATAGGGCTCAGCTGCCTTCAAAATTTGCATGATTCAGAAAAGCTTCTCCCTGTCCCTCAAGTCACCAGCTGAAGGGACACTTTGTTCTGGCTCGGTGTGGCTGGCTCTCACAGAAGTGATGGTGTGCCAGCTATGGACACAACTGTCTGAAGTCAAATTATTGAGATTTTGAGTAGGAGGAATAACTTGTTCTTTGTTCCTGAATGTTTTTGCTGGAAATGGGTTTGATTGTTGAGATCTTTCTATTCAGTAAAATATTTAATTGTAGTACAGATGACGGGCATGCTAAATACTGATAGCAATAATAAGCTGGGCTGTCACCAGATGGGCTAGCTTATCTTTCCCTTCATCCTTCCTCTTTGCTTCCTTCAGTGGTTTTCTAGCAAGTAGGGCTTTCTAAAATAAATAAATGAATAAATGAAAAATGGATGTAAATTAGCTTAATATAATTGATTAAGATGACCTGGCAGATTTCCATTTTAACTATACTCATAGAAGTTGTTTCTTCAGACATCATTTTCAGACAATCTTCTGTTTATAAAACTAACAATAACAAAAAGAACCAGCAAACAAACTGGAGCTATCACCATAAGCTATAATGGCAGCAACCTGGAATAAATTGCCATGTTGCCTTGTAGCTGCTTTTTCAGGGAGAAATATAGAAATGTTTCTCTCCCTCAGAAAATTAAGCTATACATTAGGAACCACCTTCTGCAAACAGATTCCCTGTGTTCTGTAAGATACCAGGAATTTCAAAGCTTTATGGTAATTCTCCTAAGAACATACATGCTTTCCTAATTTTCCCTTTCATTTCAATGGGAAATAAGGATTTCCGTTAGGGAATGCCGTTAGCTTCTGTGGGCTGTTTACTTCATGGAGATTGCTCTTTCCAGCACTCTTGCTGAATCACTGGGCTTTCACTCAGCTCTGCAATGTCTGTCCTCTGCTTTGATGGCATGAGAGTGTGACTTAGATATGCTTACACTGTTCAATTGCATTGTAGGTTCTTTTGCAAGGCTGCAGAAGTGTAGAATTAGACTGCTGGGATGGTGATGACGGGATGCCTATCATTTATCATGGTCACACTCTTACTACTAAGATCTCTTTTAAGGTATGCTAGTAACTGCACTTAGAAACAAAAAAATGAGAAGAAAATCAGTATTTTTTTCTATAATGAAGGAAAAAATTTGCCAACTAGAAAAATACAAATCCTAATGGGCTAAGTCCTAATAGAGTATGAACTATGGACTGTCAGACATGAACTCCTCAATGCTAAAGATTATGCTTTTTAAATTAGTTTTTGTAGCATATATACTGTAATTTTCTGTCTCTTTATTGTCAACATAAGTAACATAAGTATGTATTACCAGTCCTGTTGTAACAAGATGCTATCTTGTTTTGAAAACAAATTTTGGACCCTTTCTCCTTAGAGTGGAAAACAGACATCTTCCCCTTTCAACTAACAGTAAGCTAGCTGAATGCTGCAAAATAACCCTGTGTTCTTTCAATGGCCTTTCTTTCCCCCAGGAGGTGGTTGAAGCTATCGATCGCAATGCATTCATCACTTCCGACATGCCAGTTATCATATCCATAGAAAACCACTGCTCATTGCCTCAGCAACGCAAGATGGCTGAAATCTTCAAGGTAGGCCATAAGCTGCAATAAATTACTCTAAGCACATGCCTTGGGATTTTCCATAATATATTACATGTTCTTGATATTTCAGAATGTATTTGGAGATAAGTTGGTGACAAAGTTTTTATTTGAGAGTGACTTTTCTGATGATCCCATGCTTCCTTCCCCTGGCCAACTGAGAAGAAAAATCCTGCTTAAAAACAAGAAGCTGAAAGCCCATCAAACACCAGTGGATATATTGAAACAAAAGGTGAAGTCTTTCCCTAATATCAAGTAGTGAGACCCAACTTTGGTTAGAAATAATTCGTGTTTGAAGTTTGTGCTATTCCCATATGAACAGCAGAATAATCTAATGCATATTCATGCTTGGAAGACTCACAGTGGATTGCAACACTTTCAAATAAGTAGACAAGACATATAGTACAGTATAGATACAGCACAACTAAATTTTAGTGTATATTAGTTTTATAATACTTGATAATATTATGATTAACACCACATGCCCTATATGATAAACATAAATGAATTTTCTCTCTGAGTCTATAACATTTACTGTTCACGTTTATTGAGAAATAGTGATATGCATTAAGTATGTGTGTATATTTACAGTATGTAGTAATTTTTGGTAGAGGTCTGCCTTGTTTCTTTTTTCATATTCAAGCCAGGCAAATACTCTCTTTCCTAATCCCTTTTCATGGGGGACTCTGCTGTTCAAATAGTGCTTATATCTATATGAGAATTTTTTTGATTTCTAAAGATTAGAGCTGCATCTATAGTAGCGTCAATAAAATAATGTCTATGGTTAGCCAGCAATTAGATTGAATCCTTGAAAATGTAAACGCAGTTGCATTAAACTTAAATTCTTGTATCTGAATGAGTAAATCACACTGATTCATACCAGTATATGGACATGCTCCATCTTTTGAAAAGGTTTTAAACTATTTCTGGAACAGCCTACCTCAGACTGGAGAAAAGCAGCCTTGCTCTGAGTGATGTGCAAAGTGGAAATTTTCCTGTAATTAATTAGTTTTCATATCTTATTAAGTATTTTTCTTCCAATACAGGTTTTATTTACTTTCACACCCTTAAAATGGTATTTTAGTTTGATCTTAACAATCTTAAAAATCTCACTTATTTCTCATTCAGTGCTTTCATATAAATAAAATAAGATGCAAACAGTGATGAAAACCCTTTTGCTTTTTAAAAGTGCTTACCAATAATGTACTAAGTGATTCTATTGTTGTAGGCTCACCAGCTGGCACATTTGCAAGCACAGGCTAGCAATGGTGCTAGCAACCCCACACCTACCAATGAAGAGGAAGAAGATGAAGAGGATGAATATGACTATGACTATGAATCTCTCTCTGACGGTAACAATATTTATTCATTTATTTATTTATTACAGTGCTGTTGCTAGAACTGTAGCAATAAGAATGTAAATATTCTAGTTCAGAAATGAGGTAGGTAAGTTGTCTTACCTTGTGAGAGAAAGATGTACTAAATGTCCTTGGTGGCACTTTGGTGCAGTAGTCTCTAATACTGTGAAATTAATTTGACTGTATAGAGGACTTGGATGTGACTTTAAGTCCAACCATTATATGTTTTAACTGTGCATTGTATGCTAAATTCTAGTCTTTATAAATTACGTTACTCATATAGACACCTGAAAGCTCAAGTTTGCAACAGGCATAGCCCTGGCATCTGCATGATCTCTGAAGTAACCACTAGTTACACCTTAGGCATCAGCTGTTCATAGTAAAGGTAGAGGAGCTGCTGAGTCCTTGGTTTATTCAGTGAAGATGGTTTTATAGAAGCATCAGGTGCTCAGTTCATGGGCTGTCTACGCTTCAGCTGTCCTACCCTTCAGGAACTGGCAGTTTAGCATAAATCCACCTTTAGGAGCAGTTTATAGATTGGATTAATGACTGGCATGCCAGAAGTGATAACAAATATTGCAGTTAGTAACTTCCACTACTTCCTTGATTCTACTACAGATGAGGCAGCTGAGCTGAAGTCATGCTTTCTTTTTTTGCTTCTTTTGCTGCGGGACTGGTTGATTCAGGTAGAACAAACAGCTGGAGTCAGAAAATGTAAAAAAATATTTAATCCTCTCAAGTTTTGTCAAAGGATATTTGTCAGAACTTCCATGTATGGATTGAACAAGCTGAATGCATCTAAATGTGTTACTTGCTTTTTGTAAATAGTAATTTTCAGAGTATATATCAAAGTAGATCACCATGTGTTTACCCAGCGAGACAGCAGTGATGATATAAGTGAAACCAAACTCTTTGGGTAGTTAAACCCTGCACCATTGTTAAACTCTGTAAATGAGTCACAAAACTGACCAAAGGGACAAAAAGTTGCAGGTGTGCTTCAGTGTAAATAAATGTAAGGTTATTTGAGGGAAAACCTTTCAACCTTGCTTATATGATTCTAAGATCAATGATGGCAGTATCAGTTTCAGAAATCATGGAATTATTGAGTTCTCTGAAATGCTCATCTTGGTGTTCAGTGACAGCCAAAAGATGGAGATGATCAGGGACAGTGATGAAAACAAAACATCTTTTGGCTTCTATATAAAACCTTAATGTGTTACAACTTGAGTTCTGTGTCCAGTTCTTGCCTCCAGATTTCAAGGATATGATGGGGTTAAGGAGGTTAGAGAGACGGGCAGCCAGAAAAGTAAAGCCAGTGCAGTGGTGGCCTTGCACAAGTCTGAAAAGGCTGGAATTCTCCAGCTGGTAGAGAAGGGGACTGAGAGGTGAATTGGAAGCAGATTTACTAAATCATGAAATGGCGGATAAGGGGAGTACAGAACTGTTACTCATTAGATCTAGGAGGTACTCAGTAAAACAAGTGCAAGTTCAGTCTAAAACAGGTAAAGTATTTATTTGTGCAGCTGGTAATAAACTTCTGGAATTTGCTGCCATGGGAAATAGCAGAGCCAAGTGGCATCAGCACATTGAAAAAAATGATTGGACAAACTCATGGACAGATTTATAAGCCAATGTCGTAGGTAGGAATATTTTAGTCTGAGATCTCTCATATTCAGCAGTTGTGGTTGTTGGGGTGGTACTCAGGAATTGGGGCCGGTTGCTCTCTTTAAATGGTATCTTCTGTTGCCACTGTCAGAGAATGCTCAGCTAGATGGACAGTTGGTCTGACACAATTGGGGGTGTTCTCCTGAGTAAACAGTGATGAACTGAACCTTTAAGTCTAGTGGGGAGCTGTTTAAGTTCTTGGTGCCATGTTCAGAGAAAATGTAAGGCTTGAGCATGTCCTGCAGCACAGGACTTCTTTCCAGATTGTCTCTTATTTACATTATTTGCTTCTGTCTTTAATGATTTAAAAAATAGTCACAAAATTAATGAATGCTGACACTGCTTTTGGAATAGCAGTATTATTTAATGCTAATATGAAAATTTATAGGTTTGATGTCGGTGCTGCCTTCAGTTGTGTTTTGCTAGAAAGCTGATCTAACTGGCTGCTTGAGAATACTCTTTGTGTGGGACAGGGTGGAGATGGTGAAGATGTAAATTGCTGTGAAAACTTAGATCTTTGCTAACAGACTTGTGAAAAAAATATTGCAAAATAACTGCAGTAAGTGACTTTTGAGCAATGTTCTACTTAAGAGAAGGTTTGAGAAATCTGAAGCTAGCAAGAAACATTCACACCTTCCAATATATGAAGAAATCTGCAGCATGATTTACGACTTTATTACAATAATAATTCTTTGGGGTCTTTAATTATGTTAATATTTTGGAAAAATTAATCAAAATAATGGTCTGTAAACTTTCTAAAAGAGATTCAGTTTTATTTTTCTTACTGATATATTTTTTGAGTAAGGCTAATAGTTTTACAACTGACACTAAATTTTCATTTTTCTGGCTGTAAATCTTAATTTCCTTTACTCTTATTCCCTCTCTGACTCGTTTTCCTGTAGCTGATGTCCTTAATGCTTCTCCTGCTCCTAACAGCCAGGAAGGTAAAAGCCATTTGGTTGAGCATTTTAACTGCATGAAATCAGCATTGCATCTTCAGTCTGTTCAATGTGACAATGTGAATGTATGGTTTTTACTTCATATTGTAAATGCAATCAGATGTTTTTAGATGGTTAACTGGTCAGGAGCTGTTAGAAGGCTGCATGCGCGACACTGGTTATGCATAAAAAGATCATGGTCAAAGCATCAGGAATATCAGGAATAAAATAAAACCATTCCTTTTGTGACAGTTGCAATATTTTGGTCCAGAAAGACCATATTAGTAGGTTTATTATTCTTTGATAAATATGTAGCTTTGAAGAGGTATTTCTATAGATGGAAAAAATATTTGTGCATGGTGAAAGTAAGGAGAGGAAAGTCAAAACTTGCTGTACAAAGCGTGTACATGTTTGATGTAGTTAATTGTGTTTGGACATTTTTTGTCATTCAGGACTTCCAGTTGTTTTCAGATGGCAAACTTAATTCATTAGATGGTTTGATTTTAAGGATCTCTTGAACACTAAAGTATCGGCTTTAAAGGAAAGCATTAAACCAAAGCCAAGCATTACATTTTTGAAGGAGAAGGTTACTACCAGAAGATGATGCTTTGACCAGCTAATGCATTATTTTAGCATCTGTTTATTCATATAAGATTCACAGCACTGTCCACAAATATTGTTAATTCAAATGAAATTTCCAGTTGAAATTGTTTGGCTTTATGTTTATTAAAATCCCATTAATTTTTAGATAACATCCTTGAAGACCGACCTGAGAATAAATTATCAAGTGATAAACTGCAGTTCGAATACAATGAAGAGACTGCCAAACGACTAAAGAAAGCTGATTGTGCCACTTACAATAATAAAGGAAAGGTAGTTCTGCTTTTCCCCCCCTTCTTCCCAGCCACACTTTGATACATAACCAGCTTCAAAAGGATTTGGACAGTTTAGGTAACTGAGACATCAGATGGCAAATGTGCTTTAAGGAAGACAAATAATAGGAAGTGTGGAAAGACACCATTAAAAACAGATTAAATAGAACAAATGCTCAACATACTGTTCAAGAAAAGTCCTCAAAGGTTATTGTGTATAGAGGCTGTTTGGCTGAAACTTTAACCGTTGTTGGTCTCAGGGAAAGTGTCATTGAAACGAGATCCAGGAGCTTATTTAGATATTTAATTGCCATTAATATCGATGGAACTGAAGATTTCATCTGAATCTTCAGCATCTTTACGTATCAAAATAACTTTAAAATACCACAGTATGATATCAGATAACCACAGTACCTCTTATTAAATCATCTGACAATGGAACCAGTGCATTTCTGTTCAATAAATTGTAGTTTCTCCTGAACATGGATATGTTTTGTCTAAATGTTTGTAGAACTGACTGTGATTAAGGCCTTTGCACACTACTGCAGAATCAGTAACACGTGTTGCTGCATAGGTGTGCACATGGGAGGGAGATGTGTTAGGTGAAGACACAAACCATATAGGAAGAAAGAGATAAAATATTTTAAAGACATAAGTAAGATATGCTTATTATTATTAATTTTATTGCATGTTCTTGGAATTGTCACTCAGGTTTACGACATGGAGCTGGGTGAAGAATTCTATCTTCTGCAAAATAAGAAGGAAAGCAGACAAATAGCCCCAGAGCTATCAGATCTTGTCATTTACTGTCAAGCCGTGAAGTTCCCTGGTAAGTACACTGCCCTGTTTTATTGCTCTAAGCTTTCTAATTCTTGGAGACATTATGTTTATGTTTTGATTTAGTTTGAAGTAGTCGAGGAGGTTCGTTCTTGATGATTTGGTAGGCTTCGTAATAACAGCTCCTGGCTGAGAAGTAGTATTCATAAATTATGTAACTACATACTGTTTGTCATATTAAAATGTTTACAAAAGTGAAATTTGCCAGTCTTCACAACTTAGACAACTGGTTCAGGGCCAAATGCCAGATGACAGAAAGCTTCATCTTAAGAGCTCTGAGTTTCCATGTAAGGACCTACTGAATTAGGAAGGAAAATATCCTTAAGACCTCGAAGGAACAGCGTGTCACATTTCTTTAGATGACCTCAGTTTAGAGTGTTTCACCTTTGCCTACACTGCATCATCTGTTCTTCCCTAAGGGGACAGGAGAGGAGCCTTTTCATGGGGTGGGTGATTGCACACTCACACACAATCTTCATGGAAGGAGTTAAGGAAATAGGAGTGTCTTCTTCTGTACAGTAGGAAGAATAATGTTTGCAGAGAAAAGGAGAGGGAGTAACTGAAAAGATCACTAATAGTTACTTGTTCAGTACTGAAATGTGAGGTTGGGTATATTTTGGCTCATACTGTGAACATAAATACTTTTAAATTGAGAATTTATTGTTTATTGATGTGTTTAATGTTTTGAATGAAAAATCTGCTTTTTAGTGGCATGGTTCTCTGTGGAAAAGTTTGCAATTCTGCCAAATCATGATCTTATACAAATAGAACTATAATCAGATTAGAGAAGCTAACCAAACATAAAATAGTGTCAAATGGGCAAGATAAACATGCTGAAAAATGGACAGACATTCTTTGATAATCCTCTATAACTTTAAGAATTGTAGGTGTCACTTGTAAAAATAATGACTTCTAAAAATTCAAATCTGATACTCTTTTTGATGAAATCTGCAATGAGATATCTTTCAAATAAAATATTTTCTTTTAAAGAAAGATATTCAAGATTAAACAGAGATAGTTGGAGTTGTTCCAAGCATTTTGACACACGAAAAAGTTCTGATGTTCTAAGAAAACTTTTTGAAATATTTAATTTTTAATGTAATTTTGGTTATAAACAAAATACCTGCTTTCCCTATCAGATTTCTTCCTCGTGTTTTAAAGGGGTCATGAATAGAACAATTAAGAAAATGAACTCTTTTCACAGATGAACACATGAAGCTGTAGAAGTAACTTTTCCAACAAACTTTGTCTCCTTTGAGGCAAAAACTGCCTGCTCTGTGAGTAATGTAGACTTCCATGACCACCGTGCCAGTGATTGGATTCCTCTTCTCAGCCAGAGGGCACAGACACGGTGCAGTGCCATACCCTAATATTGTCCATTAATGATGGAAACAGGGCTGGCAGATCCATAACAATGGAGCTCTATTAACTGCATTCCTAACCAACTCAGAAAATGCAAGACTTTTGGAAATAGGGAGTGCAGAATTCATGTCAGTGTCTAATCAATGTTGTAAATATTTTATTTCTCCTGTCTTCATATATTTTTATTCTGTGTTTACACTTGCCTACGTCCCTGAATGTTAATCACTGTTTTGTGACTATAAAAAAGGGCAAGGACCATTATGTTCACTTATCCTAGCCTACTGAGTAACACAGACTTCCCTAAGCATTCCCTGGTCAAACCAGAATTTATCATGTGGAGAAAATAACATTTCTTGTTTATAAAATCTGTGTTAACAAGGAACCCACCACAGCTCTTGTTACTTCCGTGCTTTCTGACCTTTACAGTCTGTTGGATATCATCATACCAGTATGTGAGAGGGTGAAGGTCTGTTCTCTGGGGTCTCCCAAGATGAGGGCAGTGAAGCACACCTGAACACAGTACTGCTGTAACCCACTGGCACATGGCTCGTTGCCTTGGTGCTGAGGATCCTTACACAAGGAATACAGAAATTGAGTACAAAAAAGCAGAATTTGCACAATCAAGGGGAGAGAGCAGGGAGTCACCTGAGCTAACTGGTGTGAAATTCAGGCACCATCTCCATTGTATCAGACCATCTGCCCCTATGGTATCACTTTTCAAGAAATTAAAGTGAGCATGAAAAGAGGCACCCTACATACATACAAAAATGCTGTAAATTCTTTTTCAAGATCTGCAAACCTGCAGACTGTCTGTTGGTCTGAAACATGTGGTGAAAAGGTGGGAATTACAGTTTAACCTGTTATGTCAGTATGATTAGAATAAGAAAGGCAGGGAAGTTTGCAGTTGTCTGGATTAAAAAATCTAAAAGCAGTAAGGCAGTGTGCTTATATCTAACACGAGAGACAGGCACTAATCTCTGTAAGTCAAAGAACATAGCATAGGGGTTGTAGAGAAATACAAAACATTCAATCTGTCATTGTGGTAGAGTATAGTAGGATCTGTGTACAGTATGGTGGGATCAAAGCTGGTCCTACTTTGACCAGAGAGGTGGACCACTTGACTTTCATATAGTTGTCAACCTCCATTATTTTGCAAATTTATGATTCTATGAAGAGGTGAAGCTGTATTTTGGAGCCAAGTTTAAATTGGAGTGCAAAATGGAGCTTGCCTCTGGGAAGAGATGTGTCACATGCAAAGCATGGCCATGGGAAAGACTGAAAGAAAACTCCCTGCTGCAGCTTACCCTGTGGCCATCACGTTGGGTTCTGTCACGTTGCATTGCACTCTCTGGTGATTTATGAGGTGAGCTTGTTTCCTCAGTGACTGTCTCCACAACAGGATTTTGAAACCTGGATCTTCCTTGCCAAATCCATTTGATCCATTGAAAACTGGGATCAAATAGTGCTGGAAGCACACGGTTCATAACTCTTCATTCTTCTAGTCAGTTCATATTCCTTCATCTCAGTTTCTACTGTCTTCTGTTGTTTATGTGTATGCTTTGGCCCAAAGAGACAGTACATCTCCAGTGCTGAAAACATTTATATATATCCTAAATTTTACTAATCCAAGCTGTTCCATTGAAACTATCTGCATATTTTTACTAAGTACATGTACACATGCCATAAAGATTGAGAGCTGAAAATTTACAGCTGTGGACAGACTTCAGTAGAAAAGAAGCCAATGTATCCTCTTTGTGATTTACTATTTGAAATAGTATTAAATCCAGAACTGTCTTTAGACAGGTGTGAATTGATGTGAATTAATGAGGAATGTTTTAGGAGTCACAGTTAGGCAAATAACAGTGTTTGTTCTGTTATGTTCTATATCACAAATACATATTGGGTCTCTGAGACCATCCCACACCTCACTGCTGTGGGCAGAATAACTACTGTGCATTTTGATTTTCTTTAATTTTGTCTGTCCTGTGCTCTCTTCAAGTCAACAGAAAGAAACTGACCTTAAGTGGGATTGAGTCTCTTTACTTCACAGGGATTTAGGTCATGATTTTAATGATTATATTTCTAGAATGCACAAGTTTGAATAATAGCTGTACAAGAGCTTTCCAGCTCCGTTTCTAGTGCATATTGGCCGTTAAATGTGTAATGGATTTTGCACACCTAACTGTATTTCCCAACATTGAAATACTAATAAACAGAAGAAGATATATCTGCAAACATCTTGAAGTTAAACTCTTCTATCAACAGCATTTGGACTTTTATATCTTTAAATCATAGTCTTGCATTTATTTAATTATGTAGGTATCCTATCCCAGATGAATTCCATGATATTCACTACTGTTTAGATTTATTGCTTCTATAGAAAATATTTTTATTTTTTAAAAATTATTCTAAGGATGAATACATTAGGACTGTTACTGCAGATTTTTTTTAGTATCAGTTAGGACCATTTGGTAATTTGAGAGAAAGCCAATACCTTCCTCAAGCCAAAAAGTAAAATGGAGAAAAGTTACATCACAGAGAGAACTGTATATAATATTGCTTTGTATGAGTTTTAATATACATTATATATACACATACATATATACATTATATATAAAAACATACATAACATATACATATATAAAGGCATCTGTCTATGTAAGGATGTTAAAATTAAATTACGGAGAAAAATACACTGCTTGTCCTGTGTACTATATAACAGGAGTATTCATGCCTTCAAAAATAATGTAAAATATGATGGAAAATGTCGTGCCCTCTTGGTCATGTTTTTTGGCTCATTTATTTAACATTTATGGGAACAGGCTTGTCAACTCTAAACCCATCTGGCTCTAGCAGAGGAAAAGAAAGAAAAAGCAGGAAGTCCATTTTTGGCAACAATCCTGGCAGGCTGAGCCCTGGGGAGTCAGCTGCGCTTGCCAAAGCATCTGGAAAAGGTAAAGTTAGCATCTTCTTTCACCAGTCATGTGGAATGACTCTGTAATCCAACACATGTACCAGACCAAGTTGTTAAAGATCAAATACTTTGCAATGTGTAAGATATTGAACTCTGGAATGGTTTTCTGTTAGTGCAGCAGCTATTAGAGTAACGCTATTATAACTGAAGTGTTGAGTGTGGAATGTTAAAATAGTATTCCTCGGTCAGAGATATGATGACCCTAGTTCATAAACAATTCAAAACTAACATACATTTTAAGTGATGTATCTTAAAGTTTATACTTTAAAAAGTATAAATGAATATTTTCAAAGTACAAATGGAAGGCAGAACTGTTGGGCTGGATCCAGAAAAGAATTTTTATTGTCTGAAGCAGGACTTAGTTGCCTAAAATTCAGCCAAGTCCAAATGTGTAATTGTGCAAATCAGACTTTGTAGGTGACTCCATTTGTAAACCAGGAAATTGTGCTGCTGCCTATGAACAGGTGTAAAGAAATACAAAGAAAGTACAGAAAAGGTTTTGGAGACCCAGATCCCCTGCCTTTCAAGTGAATGCCATGAACAGAAAGTTAGAATTGTACCTTTTCTTGAAGTTATTTTCTGGCTCAGGGAGTGTTGCATTTCTTGCAGCCCAAGGGCACAGCTGCAGCAGACAGGTTAGATTTCCTTTTAGAGGCATGTGTCCTGAAAATGAAGAACTCAGGTGCCTAATTCTAAAGTATGTAACTCTTTTGCTGCCTTTGTCCCCTAAGTCTTACAGTCTCTGCAGATTGCCTGTTTGGAGACTTAACAGGTGGCTTTCAGTCTTGCCTCCCTTCCTCATGTAAAATGTATAAATGGGAAGAAGGGAATTTTATTCCTTTATTATATTCAGGCAAACACCAGCTAGATATTTATTTATTTATTTAGCACATCTAATCACAGTATTACTTCCATACTTAAACATTATGTTTCCTCTCATGGATTGCTCTTCCTCTATAAGAAGGAATGTGACATTTAACTTGAGTAGTGTAATTTTCCAGAATCACCTTTTTTTGCCAAAACTAAAGCACATACTCCAGCAGAAAACATTGAATTTTTGGAGTCTCTGGCCCTGCAGCTGTAACTTGAGGGTACTATTTATCTTCCAGGTCCTTTGGATGTGATGCGGCAAACCTGGGAAGATCCTTGCTCTCCTTACAACTCCCCAGCCTCTCTCAGTGCCATCATCAGGACGCCCAAGTGCTACCACATCTCCTCCCTGAACGAGAACGCTGCCAAACGGCTGTGCAGGCGCTACTCCCAGAAGCTGATCCAGCACACCACCTGCCAGCTCCTGAGGACCTACCCTGCTGCCACTCGCATCGACTCCTCAAATCCCCATCCACTGATCTTCTGGCTCCATGGGGTACAGCTTGTGGCTCTGAACTACCAAACAGATGGTATGGGGGCATGAACACCTTTTAAAACATTTAAATGTGATATAAGTCCTTAAACTGTGAATTCGTATTTGGCGCTTGCTTTTCCCTGCTCTCACGAGGGGATCTGCTTCTCTGTGCACCTCACTATAAGCAGGTTCATACCACAACAATCTGGTCCTTGGAAGGAGTGATCCCAGAGTTCAGGAGTTTTATGCCAATGCAGCAGATCCTGTGATAACACAGAAGTGCCTGAACAGCAAGACCTTCCATTTTTATTTTATTGCTGAAGGTTATTTTTTTTCCCTCAGTTCAAGAAACTGTTACTCCTTTCTGATAACTTCAAATATAAAAGGGTACTGAACTATTTTTAACTTGAAAATGCTGCCATGGATGCTGGTTTAATGTAAACCAAAACATTTTTGGACTGTTTGCTATCCTGTCTTGTATTGCTTCACCTTTTCCATGGGGGATCCATTAGGTCATCTACAAAGCTACATGGTCAGTGCTTTTTCATTCTGCAGCTCAGGGCACGTACCTAGAAACTTCTCAGAGAAATGGTGTAGGCAAGCCCTACAGTTCAATAAAGACAATGGAAAAGGATAGATAAGAAGGAACTGCTTTTATAGTTTTGTATACTAATTGGATAAATTTGATACATAAATTACAGCTATCTCTGAAAATCAAGAATGAAATTATAGTACACAAGTAAAATAATTTTTAAAAGATACCTAAAACATGACTTTGTCTTCACTGTTTTTCCATTGTACCATTGCTCTCTGTCAGTTTTGGCTGCCTTATTTCACAGATCTTCCTCTGCAACTTAATGCAGCAATGTTTGAGGCTAACGGTGGCTGCGGATATGTTTTGAAACCTCCAGTTCTGTGGGATAAAAATTGTTCAATGTACCAGCAGTTTTGTCCATTGGAAAGAGATTTTGATAATAAGGAGCCAGCTATATATTCTTTAACAGTAAGTACATTAAAAGGGAATTTCATGCAGCCAAACAGATAGAAGTAGACAAGATGTAACTACAGTCTTTAACCAGCATTACGGTCATGCTTCTAAATGGAAAGATTGAACCTTTAATTGTTGCTTGTACTTCTGAAGGTCAGCATAACTAACAGAAAGTGGAGGGGGAAGGAGAAAAGATTTGTCTTTATTTTATTTTATTTTATTGGCTGGTTTGTATCCATAGTTACTTTCACTGTTTCCTTCACAATATTCATTGAAACCCAGTCCTGAAAGAATTTTCCTTGGGACTACACAACTGTATAAAATTACACATGTGCCTTGATGTTTGACACATTTGTGAACACTTGAGAAGCTACATAAAAAAGCCATTATGAAAAGCTGTACTGAATCTTAAAAAAAATATTTTACAAGTTATATAATAAGATATATAATTTGTGGATTTGTGGCCAAATAAAAGTATTCTCAGAAGCTAGCCCCTTCCAGGAAATGTGTCAGAAAAGTGAGATTCATAAGAATCAGAATTCTCCCAGATGTGGTAATTACACACCTAATTCTTGTGTTGCATATGCCAAAGCAAGCCAGATGTCAGTGCCATCACCCCAGAGTAGTGGAGAAGAAATTGTGGTCCTTTTTGACTACATTACTGGTACATTCTTTCTGGATTAGCTTTCAGATGCCGTGAATGGTTACACTCATGATGTATAGTGTGGTTTTTTCAGAGGAAAGATGCCATAGCAGTGGTGTTGGGTGTGGGGTTAAGGCAGCTCTGCTTCTGAAATGACTGCCCTGGCAATTACAAAAGTAGAGGAGTGTCGTAATTAAATCAGCACGTTAACAAACTGTGCTTAGGAGTGTGCTAAACAATATTTAGCAGAATCACGACGGCAAAAGAATTACTCCACTAATTGGTTTCTCTGTGTGCTCCTCGGCTTCAGATCGTGTCTGGACAGAACGTGTGCCCCAGCAATAGCACGGGCAGTCCATGCATTGAAATCGATGTGCTGGGGATGCCTCTGGACAGCTGCCACTTCCGCACAAAGCCCATTCATCGCAATACTCTCAACCCCATGTGGAATGAACAGTTCCTTTTCCGGATTCACTTTGAGGATTTGGTCTTTCTCCGGTTCGCAGTTGTTGAAAATAACAGCTCAGCTGTGACAGCTCAGAGAATCATTCCCCTCAAAGCGCTAAAGAGAGGTACAGCATAGTTTGTAGTGACACCCTATGCCAAAATGGTTCAGCAGATTCCTGGACTGAATCTGTCCAGAGGGATATTTTTAATCAGCTAGTTGCATTTTTCTAGAGGAGGAAGGGAAGAAATAGGAGACTACATACCATGGCCTGGCAGTACAATGCTGATGTAATAGACTCCTTAGGAGCCAGCAGCTGCCCCAGTGAGTTGTAAAAAGTCTGATCCTGTGGTGTTGTGGAGACAGGGGCATCTTACACCTGCTCTGATCCTGAGCTGTGCTTGTGAGGTTATGTTCACCTGGAGACTGGCTGCTCCCTTAAGAAGCATGGAGTGGTTTCACTCCCTGCCTTGTCCTTTGCCCAAGAAACTGCTGTAATGGGTGATCACTGGTCAGAGGGGAATTGCACTTCTGTCAGCTGTGGCTGGAGGAGAGTTGAAGGAAGGGTGAAAGAAAGTGAGAGAGATGAGAAAACATCACCAATTCTGTGACACCTGGGAAGAGGGAGTTTCCATGTTGCCAGCAGCTCTTTCACATGTGCTTTGTGTCACTGTAATGCCACACAACTGTCTGTGTTGGCATATGAGGAGATCTGGCCAGACATGCATTTTTCCAGTGATAATTTGACCTTGTTTCATTCATATTCTAATATTTAGATATTTTATGTATTAATATATTGTGTATTATGGCAAAACAGAGGTAGGCTGCTGTATGAGCCACTCAGCAGTTCATAGCACTTGGGTTACACTGTTGTACAGCATTAATGCAGTGCTAGTACAGTGCCTTAAATCCTACTTGTGTGGCAAATTGTAGCTATAAATACAGCAAATTTGAGTTTTCCATTTATGAGACCTGTGTCCTAGAATGTGGTGAAGTATTTACAGATTTTTTCTCTTTAGGCTACAGACATGTCCAGCTCCATAACCTGCACAATGAAACATTAGAGATTTCCAGTTTGTTTATAAACAGTCGGAGAATGGAAGAAAGTCCCTCTGGAAACACTCTGCCTGCATCTACGGTAATTCAATTGTTGTGTGTGTGTGTGAATTACCTGTATTCTTGTCATAATAACAGCCAGACTGTTCAAAGGTGTTAGCCCTTAAACCTGCACATTGTTCAGAAGTACCCTGATGCCTACTTCTTTTTGGCTTTGATGGAAGTAAGATTATACATCTGGCTAAAACTCTGGAAAGGTAAATCTTTTCAAAGTCTGGCTTCTCTGGTGTATTTAGGTATAGCACAAGAACCCCTGGGCTGGAGGAGTGTGGTTGAGCAGTAAGGTCCAGTGCTGCCTCATGCATTCCTTTATGCATGAATTCTAAGCAAAGCATTTGAGACCAAAATAAAAAGAAAGATGCAAATTACCAACAACTTTGGAATAATGAGAATAAAATTGAATTTTATTACAAGAAAATAAAGACTCTGTATTTCCATAAATACACATATTTATATATGTATGTGCACATATTTTATATGTACAAATATGTACACATACACATATCTAAAAATATATATGTTTGTATTTATGCATGCATAGATGGATGTGATTTTTTTCTGTTAATAGCCCTTAATATTAGGTTGTCTGGGTTACTCATGTTTTGGCAACTTTAAACATCTATATTATCATTATTCTGACTACTCAAGTGTTAGATAAAACCTGCTGAGCTCCTGTGTATGCAGATGTGTTGCTGATATTATCCTCCTGTGAATACATGCCAAACATGTATCTTGGTGAATTATTAGGCAGAAAGGAAGAACATAAATAGTTTGGAGGTTAAAAGAAAGCTATAGGTTTTCACCCAGTAATCTGTATGCTGAAATCTAAATAGTCTGAGCTCAGCTAGAATGGGTAATGAGCGATGGAGGTCTGCCCTCCACTGGAAAACTTTCTTTTTCTTCTTTCTCTTCAGCTTCAGGGTAGGGTGGACTCTTTTGGAGGGTTTGTTGGTGTTTTTTTAAATGCCTCAATCTGCAGCATAAGAGCCATATCCTACCTGGATAGCTTTGCTCTCTCGGAGTCCTTACAACTTGTATGTACAGTTTCTTTTAAGCAACCTTTTACATGCCTATGTAAAAACATTCAGTAACCTGTTGAATGTTGTCCGAACAGTCGTTTAGCCTGGGAGAAAGGAAAGCTGCTGTGACTTACAAAGTGACAGTTCATGGAATTCCAGGCCCGGAGCCTTTCACTGTTTTTAATGTAAGTGCGGGGACCACGGCTGCACAGCTGCTCCATCAGGTAAGCTTCCTGCTGAACTGCAGATCCAACTGCAGGAATCCACATTAACATCGTTCTGGACATTTGTCTCTCTGCATTTCTCTCATGCAGGGTCGTTGTAGTTCATCACAGCAAGGAGGTGCTGTTAGAAATGTATTACATTGCAAACACAGAAAATAATCAGTGAAATGATTTATCATTTTAGAATATATTCCCTATCAGTATTTTAATATTTGGGCATATGCAGATGAGAAAAACAATCTTTCTGGCCAACGGAGGCAGTGGGCTGTCCTTACAACAAGGGCAAACATTTCTGCAGAATTCTTTGAACTTGAGCACCACAGGAATACAGAGTAAAAGTTGGAAGGCCAAGTTCATGAGTAGCAAAACCAGTTAACTCAACAGGGATTGTTATTCTAGCAGTGGGAAAAGACTGTACTGTCCTGGGATTATGAATAAATTGTCTGGCCAGCCAAACAGGACAGAAATAAGCTTAAATAGTACTGCCTTGTCTGGGATAGTTGAACTGCTTGGCTACACTAAAGAGAACAGGACATTACCCTGGAGTAAAATATCTGAATAATAAATAGCACATCTGAAAGCCTGCCTGCACTGTCAGAACAGTTATTGATTCTTAAAGCTTCCGTATTCACTCTCATTTATAACTGCTAATTATGCAGTGTTTATATTTAGCATTCTAATTGTTATGTGTTTATTATGGTCTGTCTTAGCTCTTGGCTACCATAAAAGGCACCGAGTCAAGCACTGCAGACTATTTTCTGATGGAAGAGAAAAGTTTCATATCTAAAGAAAAGAGTGAATGCAAAAAACCACCATTCCAGAGAGTGATTGGTCCTGAAGAAGGGCTAGTGCAGCTTTTGAACAGTTGGTTCCCAGAAGAAGGATATGTTGGAAGGATTATCTTTAAAACCCGAGAGGAAGTAAGTCTGTTTTAGATAAATTGTTATTTACAAAGATAGCTAAAAATAGCTCTTAGGACCAGGAAACAAAAGGGTGCAGTATTTGTTTCACTATTTGGTGAGTAATGTCAATGCTGTGTACATTGTTTAAAAACAAACATAACTCTTGAGTGAGCAAGGACAACTAGACTTCATGCACCTGTGTGACATTAATTGGACCTCACTCAGCTTTACTATCAGCTGTGTGATGTTTAAGCATTATCACTCACTCACCAGTTCAGTGTTGTGTTCTAATTTAATGCCATACATTATGCCAGGATAGGAAATTAATATAAAGAAAGATAATAGTTAATACCATAGGATCATAGATAACAGAACTCCAGACAACCATTATCAATCAGTTTGGATGTCAGCAACTTCTTATCTGTCTAGAAAAATTAGAAATAATTTTAATATTAAAGAATAAGTCTAAAAGGATAGAATAAGTCTAAAAGGATCACAAAGGATAATTAAATTATTAATGATAACCTAAAATAATGAAATAGGTGATTTCTTTTCATTTAAAGGAGGAAAATGGACTGATTACTTCAGTTTAAACTGTGAGCAAAGCATCTACAGCTTGAAAATATGCTAGTGCCCAGGCTTGTGAGAGACAAAGAAAGCAGGAGAAAGACACCTAATGATCTCATTTTGGACACACTTTCTTTGGTCAGTTTGGCCTACAAAAATGCTTGCTTAGTACACAGATTTTACATACACAAATGATAGAGATCCTCTGAGATACTTCTAAGTGAAAAAATGTATTTTTGATTATTTTGATAGAACTTTTGATAAAGCTTCAATTTGACAAATTACCATTAAATTACACAAGTCCACATTTTGTTTTCCTTTATTTCTAACGTTTGGCAAAAAAATTACAAAAAGTTACAAGGTAGAAATTTGTTTGTGGAAATAGTAACCTACCAAATTCTGTTGACTGCAGCACTGACTTTGTCAGTGTGCACCACCACACATGTCACTGCCAAGCCCCATTCTGTTAGAAAATGGGGGTTAAAATCTGTCTTGGCTCATGTGAAAATTATGTTGTAGTTTTGTCCTGTGATGTGAGTACCCCAAAGCATTATCTGTAATTCTGAGCCTTTCTGCAGATAGCAGCACCTCAGAGCTTGGAACTAGAAATTAAGCTGCAAATATGATTGAAAAACAAGGAGTGGGTCCACTGGAGGGTGTGAAACACAGCTCATGTTTACAGCTTATGAATCCAAGGTGTTGGACAGAAATGCATTCTCTGAGAAAAGGTGCAGGGAGGAATTCTGCCTTAAAATCTGGAGTAGTCATAGAGCCTGAAAAGGGACAAACAAGCATCCTTCCTCTTGCTCTACACCACAGGAAAACGTTTGCTCAGACTTCTTGCTCTCTAAGTACTTTTGGCTTTAGTGCAGGGACAGGAGAGAAAAGAACCCTTTCCACCATCTCCCATCTTACTGCCACCATTAGATGACAAAACAAAATTTTATGTACATAAGGAAAGAAAGGATTTAAGTGACTATGCATGTCTCCAGACACTGATTGTAGAAACACAGGTATTTATTAGCAGTAGTACCTTGCAAAACTCTCCTGTAATGCATTTAACGAAATGGAGCTGGGGCTACAGCAGAGTCTCCAATTTCCATGTGATAAAAACCTTTCGTGACCACCAGCTATTAGTTACCTTTCTGAAGTAAATGAATCTGGCTCTCATTTATTTTCTCTGTAGAATTTAAATGAGAGAAATGTCTTTCAAGAAGCAAAGGAAGAAGCAGCCATCAGCTCCGAGGATGACAGTTTCTTTGTTCAGGTACACGATGTCTCCCCAGAGCAACCACGCACCGTCATCAAGGCTCCCCGCTTCAGCACGGCTCAGGATGTCATACAGCAGGTGAGCTGCACCTTTCCATGGTAATCTGTGGGGTGGAGGCTGGTTTCACACGAGATAGGGTGGGGTTTGTTCTCAGCACTAGCTGAGGAATCGGTTAGTAACCTGAATCTGAGGGAATGCCTTCTTTTTTTGTCTTATTTTTTCTCTGCTTTTAAACAGACTCTTTGCAAAGCGAAATACTCCTACAGCATTTTGAGCAATCCAAATCCAAGTGATTATGTGCTCCTGGAAGAGGTGACAAAAGAGCCAACAAACAAAAAGTCCTCAACATCTAAACCATCTCAGAGGATTCTCTCTGATCAAGAGTGTGTGTTTCAGGCCCAAAGCAAATGGAAGGGAGCAGGAAAATTTATCCTGAAGCTCAAAGAACAGGTTCAGGTAAAAGATGCGATAGTTTGCAGCAGGTGTTGTAGATAGTGTGTGATCAGCTTAATGGGAACCTGCTTTCAATGGGAGAGAGACACAACTGGCATGAGGGCAAGTGGGGAAGACAGACTACAGCAAAAAGCAGATTCCTCTTTTCTCCGAACCTCCCTTACTTTTTTCCTTTGCAAAACTGCAAAGTTACATCCAGCAACACGACTCCCTCACAGCCTGCAAATCCAGGACAACCTTTATCTCCTACCAGCTTTCTGTTTTTCAAAATCTTCTGGCAGTGCATGCCACGCTTTCCATCATAATAAAGGACCATTCAAATGGGCAGAGCTTAAAAGCTACTGGAATAAAGTCCCCTTTATCCCTGCCCAGTGAAAAAGTTGTTCTGTTGCTTTATCTCAGGCTTCAGAAAATGGCAGGAATGAAGTACATGCCTACTGGGAGAAGGAGCTGTGTTCTGCCTGCAGACACCACCAATCCACAGCAGCTGTTGCTTTAAAGTAACTGTATTATAAGCACAGATCTTTTTATAAAAGTTTATACCAAATTTGCTAAACATATCTTTGATGAGGCATAATTTTAAATTAATTTATTCAGAACAATGAGTAGGATGTGCTTGCCTGTGAAAGCACAGACATACTGAATTTCAAAAGGAAGGCCTACTTAGAATGTTAGGTGTTTTCATATTAATTCTGTATTTCACAACTAACAAGCAGCTGTTAAACCACTTCTGTGAATTTTTTTTTTCTTTTTTTACAGGCAGCACGAGATGACAAAAGAAAAGGCATCTCCTTTACCAGTGAACTGAAGAAGTTAACCAAGTCCAGTAAGCAGTACCGGGGGTTCATGTCGCCCCCGCTGCAGGTGTTGTCGGACAGTCCCCACAGCAAGGATGAAAGGGCCGCGTGCGGCTTGACCTTCAGTGACATTGTGGAGTAGTCACTCCACTGCCTACGGTCTGTTCAGGTACGAGACACTGATCCCAACGCTGAGCAATCATTTATGTGATTTACAGAGGATTTTCTTTCAAAGCTGTAGCTGGTTAAACCAGGGTGAGGTACAAGGGACTGACAGAAAGATCCTTAAAAGCCTTACCCATCGGTGTGCACAGGCACAGTGACAGCAGTAAGGTCTCCAGTCCTTAATTATGGCACTTGCTCCAGTGAATCAGACTGGAGTTTCACCCACAAAACCAAACCAAAATGTTGCATCCTCGTTGATTTTACAGTATGCATTTTAATGAGTAATGGTGCTTAATTAATGGTACTGTTACTCTTTTGTTCTGGGCCAAAGTAAATGGAAGTGACCAGTAGAGCTTTTATTATTTTTTGTTACATGCAGATAACAAAATCATCAGGACTGGCCATCTCCTTTTTAGCTAAAACAAGTTGATGGTGTTAATTTCTCTCAGTGGGAATTTTGCCAGAAGTGTTTAAACATTTATACTATCCTTTCTGTATCTCTTCAGTTTCTTCCATCTTGCTTGACTTCAAACAACTGAAATACACAACATAAGACTGTCTCGTTTATAAGTGCAACTTGTCCAGCAACGTACACTAACCAGACATTTGCACAGTGCTACTACAGCACTGAGACAGCAACCGGGAAGTTACAGCTCATTGCAAATGAAGAAATCTTTTTCAGTGTTGATAAGCCCATCTCACTTATGGCCAATTTAATATTACCTTTTTCTTTCCGCATACACCTAATTATTGAAGCATTCTTTGGCATGCACTGTCATACTAATTTTAATGACTGCTAAGTCATTAAATTAACAGAATTCAGGTAATATTTTCATTTGCAAGGTATTTAAAATATGAAGGGATACATTTGATACCTCACTTCTTGGCTACTATATCAGAATTCAAGGAAAGCAAAGTAAATTATGGAAAGAGCCCAGTCAGGTTCCCTCTTCTGCATTTGCTCTTTTAAAACTGGAATTTACATTACTGAATCCTTCTGCAGTGCCTTTGAAGGATCCTGCTGTGGACTGAAGTGGTCAACAATTGTGTGCCCTGTGCTACAGCTGCCTAATCCAGGCAATTCTGCTGGATTAACATCCAGAATCTGGGAATCCTAAATGGGATACTGTAGATTGGAAAGATGCCTGTCAGCTATCAGAAGATTCTGCTCTTCCCATATCTTCACATCTGCAGATTCTCCATAGGCGGATGGAGAAGTTTTCTTGGACTGTATGTTGTAAACAAACATGTGTCATCACCCTCCCCTTTTTAAACAAAAGATAATTTTAGCTTGTTGCCTCTAAGGAAACTGAAGGCAGAGAACCAGAGTGTTCTTTTATGTATATTATTTTAAAATAACGCACTTTTACCTGAAGATTTCTGTTAAACACTGTGTTAAGTGATTGTAAAGAGATTTTAATATACTGTAACTTCCTTTGCATATCTGTTTAACTTTGGTGAATATCACAAAACACTCAAAATTATTTATGGTTTATCTACTTTAACAAAATAATGTACAATAGCTAAATACACCTAACTGGTAGTGAGACTTTGACAAGCAACAACATTTTCTTCTTATAAATTCTTGTTTTCCAGGCTTGTGTTTAAAGAAAGAATATTTATTATCATGTTCCAAAGTACATGCCATTGTATAATATATTTATCATATACTACTTTTTAGAAAATGCAGATTTTTACCTCTCTCTGGATTTAGAGGAAAATATGTTTGAACTTTTATGGTTGTTTCTTTTCAGCACAAGATGTTTAATACCCCAAACTGACCAAATTCAAAACAATGCATTGATAAATGTAATTAACATTTCAAAATTTTGAATTCAAATACATTTTTCCATACAGTCAGAAACGTCTTTTTACTTATCTGTTACAGAGATTATAAAGAACTTTTACACTATAACTATTGACATTTTTGTTTACATAGAAACACTGTTGTGAAGTTTTACGTTTGCTGAATTCATCTTTTGATATGTAAGTAAATTAGTTGTGCTAGTCTTTTTTTTTATTTCCATGGGAGTTACTAATGTGTTTAGTTACTTAAAACAATCCATATTGTTACAGGGGCACAAATTAAACAATCAGATCCCTTTGATCTCCCACAAGAAATGTGTCTGTGGCGAACAAATTGCTCTGCACACGTTTTTGTCTCACTAGAGCAATCCCTAAACAAGAGTAGTCTCATGACAACTGATGCCCCCCTATTAATTAGAAAATGAAATAGAAGAAAGAAGAGTCATTAACTGTCATATAAACAAGCAGACAGAACCTGCATTCTGTCACCAGAAACGATGAAGTCTTTCACAATACACTACAGAAAATGCCTGTAAAGTAGCTATTACCAAAGCAAAAAAGTGCCCTCTTGAGGTCATTTCCAGCTTTCAGGAAAAATAACTATAGCCGTACAAAAAAAGTCAAATTTCCTGGTGCCATATCCTCACAGAGGCCATGCACCTCCCACTGCTTGTCTTTTACAAAAGTAAACTTTTGAACTGATGCAGCACCCCCAACCACCTCCAAGCTCAGCCTCTTCACTCATTAGTACCAACTTGAACACTGCACATGCATAAGACAAGACTGATCCCGAGTAAAATGTTAGCAGTGACAACTTACATGTAGTTTTATATGCAGTTTGCTTTGGAATTCTTTGGAGTTATTGGGAAATACTTATATCAACCTGCTGCGCAATTCAACTAATGCAACTATTTTTTAAATCTTAGCTTCATTCTCCCTGTTATTTTAACACAGTAGCAGATTCACATCACTAAGAATTTTTTCTTTCTGGTGTTTTTGTGGCATTTTAGAAACAATACTTAAGGTTCCTGTAGTTTGCCCTTACCTGTCTGGCTTTTTTTTTTTTTTTGGAAGTGGTTTGTTGGGTTTTTTTAATCTTTAGCAGCACTGAAAATTCTTACCATCACCTAAGTATCACACACTGGCTAATTAATTAGATCCAACATACAAACCTTGGGGAATCAAGGGACAACAGCAGCCATGTCACATTAACACAGGTCTAACACTAGCCTGAAGTCTGGTGGCAATTTAAAATCAGCAGATTTTTACTATTTCTACTAATACAGTAATTTTTCTAGCTGTGGGAACAGTTTATTAATATGAATATCTTCCTCATTAGTCTCACCAAAAGCTGCTTTTGCTGCTGTTTATTACAGTGAAAGAGAAAAGTTTTTGGCTTTTTATTTCAAACCCCATATTTTAGGCATATAGACATCTGGAATTGTGTAAGGCTAATTACCCTGTTCTAGTATTTTCATTAATGTTCATATATCACTTAATTTCAAGTTTAGGTATTGGTAAGTAGCCAAGTAAACTTTTGTTAGTGAAACATGGCACACTTTGGGGTGAATTTGGAAAAGAATTGCGATACCCTTCCTTTTGTTGGGTCCAAGTTTCCTGATAGTGAAAATACACCACCACCTGATGCATTTAATGGGGAGGGTGGTTAACTTTCTTGAAAGCTCAGTTAAGGAGCTTCCATGTGCTGAATTATTATGCTCATAGGAAATTTATTCTCCTTAGCCACGGATTTTATTTCTGCAGGAATATTTGTCCACACCGTCCTGTGACAAGACTGACAAAATAACTTTGTCCTTTTTTGTGCTTCTGGCTGGGCATGGACATCAATTAGGAAAATACATTCATTTTTACATTACAAACTATTTACAGGAAGCAGCTTCCAGGATAAAATCTGAAAGAAAGGAATGTAAATAATCAACACCTTCCAGAAACATGCTGTCTCTGAGCAGTAGCAGGCCTTGCACTGAACAGTTTACAGGTGGAAATCTCATGCTCCATTGCCTAATGGCAAAAATACAGAAGCATATTCTTCTGTACTATTTAAAAAACTGCTACTTTTCTACCAAGTTCTTAACTTCTCCCTGTGCAGCACGTGGTGCTTGCAGGGAGTTATGGTATGGGACGAAAGATGGGCAGTCACAGCTCCTGCCTGTATCAGCACTGCTCTGGCTGTAGGAACTGGGGCACACCAGGAGCTACTTCCTCTACTGCCTGAAGGGTTTCTTGTTTCTGTCTTACTGATCCCAAACTATAGCAGAAGACTAAAAAGTACTATCTCAGTTTTATTTTTTTAAACCTAGTCACATTATTTTTCTTGCTACAAATATTAGGTGAATACTAGGTGAAGTGTCTCACCTTTTAGAAAGCTCTCTGCTTCTAGAAATCACATGCTTTGGAGATTTAAAGACTTCAAGATGGAAATATCTAAATATTTCAGGAACACTTTTTCTCTTACATTCATAGTTTATTTTCAAAAAAGAAGACCTTGCTGGTAGCTTTACATTTCAGTGAAAGGCTGAGTCTGCAGCTTCTGAAACTGAACTGTCTGCTCTGCTCTGCTCTGGCTCTTTGAATGCTTCAATTAGCATTTGGTTTTTAATCACTGTCAGTTATTATTCCACTATAAAACTCAGTTTACTTTTAGGGTAGCCCACTAAATGTACCAATGGTGGCATTTTTTTCCTGTCTGTGATAGATGTTTTGCAACTTAAATAGTAATAGACTTTTGGCAGAGTTAGCAAATTAAACACAAAAATAAATAGCAGTAAATAAGATTTTTGCTCCAATAGATGTATAGGCTCTTTCAGAATGACTTAGTTGAACAGTTGTCTTTCTCTGCCTCTTAAAGCATGTCAGAGTATTCTGACAATGCAACATCACTATGTGCCAGTCTCTATATGTTTGGAAACTATGAAAAATGAAAAATTTCAAAAATTTCCACCTGGACTATTTTCTCTCTGCTGACTTGAAGAATAAACCTGTATTTGTATATGTTGTAAAAAAAATAAATGGTTTAAGATGTTCACTCTTTGCTTTTGCCGTCCCAAACTGACCAAAGTACTGGCAAATGGCCCCCTTGGAATTTTTCAGAATTTAAATCACATCCATATTTGTGAACATACTAAAAAAAACTATTCAAAAGCTATGGGAATCACAACCTAAACAAAGAGAAACACATGTATAAATATCAGTATGATGTATGCTGTTTTGTAATCTACATAGTAAACCAGGAATTTTCTAATCCATTAATACATAGATGTCTATTCTAAAAATGTCTGTGAATTTATGTTTAACTATTTGAAAGTTGGTGAATTAGTGTGATTAATACTAAAAACATGTATTAAAAGAAAAAAGGAAATTTACTTTTAAAACGATCTAAGAACTATAAATCGGGATAAAGAACTAAATACCCTAGAGAAAAAGCAATTTTCTGACTTGAATGAAAGCTTTGAAAAACTTACATATATATCATTATCACATCATAGACTAAACACTACAAAAATACATTAGCTGAGCTGTCAGCCAGGGACAGCCCACCACACTCCCCTGTAGAATGGAATTCACATAAAGACAATATCATCTTTTAATTAATTAATATATTTCACTTACTGTTTGCAAAGCCAACATGCAGCTGAAAATGGATTCTAAAACAACCAGGCAATAACTTATATTTGGGGAACCAGGAGAAAATTACTACCAAGATAAAAAGAGAAATATTTACATTCTTACCTTGTATTTGTCCATCATTCTTGACAGCAATGGTTTATTGAAGACACTGCAGAAGAGCATTCAGTCATGATGACAGTTTAGAACTGAAATCCAATATTCTCAATTTGCCAATACCAAGATTCACCAGAGGGAAAACCTCCACCAAATGCAAAATCATTTCAAGATGAGATAAATGATTAGAGGACATCAGAAGAAAAACAGAAAAAAAGCAACAGAAAAATCCAAATCTTTAAGTAATTTAGACAAAGAAGTCAATATTGTTAACATTTTCAAAATATTTATTAATTTATCAACAGAACCAGTGAGTTCTTGGAAATACATATGTCTATATTCTGTTATAAAAATATATAAACAAAAATACAATCATGCATGGTTGCAAACAATTTTTAAATAGCCTTGTTTTGTATCTTTTTAAATTACGGATGTGACTGTTCACTGTGGTTCCCCAGCCCTGCAAACACAGGCTCTGTAGCCAAGCAGACAGGTTTGTAACTCTCTGTGAAAAACTGCTCTTACATTTTTGTGTGTTTCTATATTCAAACAAAAGCCTACTTGTATTCCTTTAATGATGAGTGGAAATTAGTTTCATCCAATCTTTCTCCATAATTAAGAAGCCAACTGAAGTTGAGTAATAAGTACATTTATGACAAAGACGTTTCCTTCAAGTGTTTAGCAAAATCCAAGGATTTGTGAACAACAGTCTCACTGATGTGTTGTTGAAGCTGCTTGCTTAGCTCTTCATCCACAAATGAATCCATTTGTGAGAATGTATCCTGAAAATTACAAAATATTAGTTGCATTACTAAACAAGGCCAGTATGTGTTTTCCATGCATAGCTTAAATTAGCAGTCCTCTTACTCTCACATGTCCCCAGTCATCCAGACTAGACCTATGGAATTGGCAGCTCACGCCTGCCTGGCCTGCCAGTAAGTTCCCCTTGGCTTGCAAGTGATGTGTCAGTCCTTCATAAGCTCGTGCTGGGGGTTTTTTGTTTTGTGGTAAACTGGACTTTGGAATATTACCTACTACACACAGCCACAGCTTCCAGTTCTGGAGGCGCTTACACACTGCTTCCTGTTCAACACACCTCAGAAACAGAAATCAAGCACTGTTTGGTGAGAGCACTTATATATATAAATCAAGCATCTCTGATTAAAAGGCCAGTGAAAGCAATGATGCTCACAGTAGAGGCTGTGAGTCAGAAAGGAATGCCCTGACCCTTCTGCCTCCAGCCAGAGCTGGAGTCTTCCACTCTTTCCTGGTGCTCAGATGAGGAATTGTGATCACACACATGATTTAAGCTCCCCCGTTAAAGTCTGAGCACACTCACAGTCAAGTACATTGTGCACTCAAGGACAAATGAGATCCTCTCTTTAGTAGTGCACGGGGCTCCAATTTGGAGCCTCTATCAACACCAGGGCGGTGCTGACAAAGGCAGCACAGAGAATATGCAGGACAGAGAGGATAAAACTTAGATACTGCCAAAGTTTGCTAAATGAGCCCAACAACCAGAGAGCAGGCAAAGCCCCAGGGTAATTTTCCCAGTTATGTCCATTATAACCACCTATGGACAGTTTGTTCTCTCTTATTTTCCTCTTTGTTTCTGCTACATTAAAAAGCTTGTGCTTTTCCTTATTCAAGCACTACAATTCAAATCTCTTGCATATCTGCTGCTCCCAGCCTTGCTCTGTCAGAGGTGCTAATGTAACTCCCTAGCAGGACAGACATGTCAAGAAGTCATTGTAAAACGATGGAATAAGTAAGTACAAACACATTTTCAAGAGTTGCTTCTCTAAAATGGAAAAAAAATGTGCTTGCAAGGCTTCAACTGACATTACTGAGTTACAAAATGGAGCACTGACAAGGTTAAGTGTCTTCATTAGGAAGAAATAAATTATCACTTTTTAAAGGACACCCCTCACTGGACATTTAAAGGAGGCTGGCCTCTGGAACAGTGCTGAGGACATAAAAACTGTTCCCCTGTTTCTCATCTTTATACATTAACTCTTTGTTCCCCTCAAATTTACACTTTAAAGCTACAGTGAGGCTAATAGGGATCAGTATCCCTCTACATATTGAATCAAAGGCTCTGGAAATCCAGCTGTCCTGCCAACTACCCGCACTGGGGAAAGAGCTGTTTTTTTATTACTGCTTTTTGAACAAACATTAGTTCATCATTACAGAAAAGGGCCAAGAAATCTGCACTGAACCACTGCAAAGTGCAAAATAACAGCTACCATATTCATCTTGCTACATTAACTGAAGCTGTGGGAGATGGAACTATTTATACAGCTACTTTTCCTTGTTTATAGTCAGTCCTATCTTACGCCAGTTAAAAGAAATACTTGACATGCAAAGTATAGAAACCAGAAAGCCAAACTGAGTGTGCCAATGCCTAGGCACGGCACAGTGAGCCAGCAGATACAGGTTATTTTGGTACATCATGTGGTTAAAAAAGGACACAGAGACAAGATAGTACCTTTCTTCTGGGTGTTACTGATGCAACAGGAGGATTAAAGGTCATTCCTTTCATGCAGTATGCCTCAAAAAGTTCTGTAGCAGACCTACAGCAAAATCCACAGTGAAAGAAAAATGGCATTAGATAGATACATCTTCAGCTGATATATCAACAATTTAAGGGCAGCTTCTCACACACACCACTCTCACCCTCTACCACACTTTAAGAGAACTCAGAGTAATGAGCATCACCTGGAAAAGATCAGAAGCCAACAGCTGGGAAACAATGCAAGTCAAGTAAGTAAAATGTGTCTAAAATACTCAATTGTGGGAGACAAGAAAACTGTTCTGTTGGCTTGCCAGAGGTCCAAGCACTCACTGCTTAATCTGTACATATTTAATAAAGGAAAGTAAAAGGTGGATAAAGATTATCTAGCTGACACAATCTGCTAGAATTTCAAACAGTTCCTTACCAAAGAGTTTTACAAAAGACAGGATGCTAAATTAGACCCTCAGTCTGAACCAGCATGGCTGCTCTCATGTTTTAACATACTATGGACCTTACACTGCAACTTGGTTTCCAGCTTACGCTGGACAACCACAATTCAGTGATCCTCATCCATATTCAGATCAGGGCTGCTGCTGAGGAAATGCAAATATTTTGCTCCCATGGGAAGAAAACACACTGCACTTTGAGATTTTTACCCTTGTCACAGCCTGGCAACAAGTATCAAAAGAAAAAAAAAAGGGGGCAGCCAACATTCTGTACTGGCAGAAGAACAAAGAGAGTTTGAAGATCAGAATCTTCTAATTTTATGGATACTTATTTTTAGGAATTTCTTTAATAAAGCATAAGCAACAGCTTCCTTTCAAAGCACTATTTTAAAAAACCCCATCTCTTTGATAACGCACCTTTGGCTGAAGTCAAGTGAAAGAGCTCCTGAGCCTTCAGTTGGAGCTCCAGCAATAAGATGAGCTGCAAACTTCTGCACTGTTGGATGATAATGTCTCTGAAAGAAAGGAAGAAAGAAGGCAGTTGACTGAAGGATGAGGGATGATTTATTTTTCTACAGATTCTCACATTTATTTCCATTTCTATAAGATGCTTTTGTTTTAAATAGAAAAAGCACCTCAAAATCACTCAGTTTGTAGGGTTAAGTGAATGAGAACACCCAGTCATACATTTATTCACTGTATGTCATGTTGTGAACATGACTCCACAGTTATTCTAACTCCTACTCCCAGAAAACAGGAAGAAAGGGCCAAGGAAGCCCTCCCCAAGCCCCAAACTCTGACTGGAACGACAGATCAAGGTTTCTGTTGGACAAGAGCTGGATTTAAAGGGAACTTGACAAACTGAAAAAGCCTCCAAAGGAATCTTATTAAACAACCTGCAGTAAGATCCAGTGTTATCATGAGCCCATTCCTTCCATATTACTGTGTTGCTCTTCCTCTTTGTATGGAATAGGCTCATGTGGGCCAGATTTGACTGATAAGCCTGGAGACCTCTGTTCTCTATTTGTATAAAGCATATAAACATTTAGCAGCTATTTACTGCTGACTTTTACTTCCCAATTCACTCAGTTACTAACCTGAAGTAAATGCAGCTCCCACAGAGCTGTGTTCTGAGCATTGCAATGCTCTGGTTCATCTAGTTCTGGAAGATAAACACCACTGCCTTGAGATTCATTATCTAATAAGAGGTCCATCTTTGGGAACATCTACGACACACAAAAAAACAACTGAGTTGCTTCTATTGCACATCCAGTTAAACATGACTAAGTCAGTTTCAGGATTCATTCCATGTTATTCAGTCTCGGCAGCATTTAAGGATACCCT